CACTGATCCCCACCACTCCCCCATTTGGGCTGAGGCTTGGCTTCCTTGTGGGATGAGCCCTGCCTACTTTTGCCCCACCCCTCAATGTGGAGGCTAAACCAGAGCTTGGGGGAGGGGCGAGGCTTGACCTGGAGATTTTGTTGAGAGCCATCCTGGCGGTTAATCTAGGGAGGCTCTAAATCCTGTGGCTGTTCTGGTGACCTTGGGCGAGTCTCCAGTGTGAAACGATAATAAAGATGCAGACTGGAAACGGGAGTGGTAGGCGTAAGTGTGATTAGGGGGCTTGGCCTCACGTTCTGGCTGCACATTAGTTGGCCTCCTTTCCCACGTGGCTGCAGGGAGTGGGGGCTGGGCTGTCTGCGAGCTCCTCCCCCACCAACCCACCCCCGAGGCACGTGGCAAAGCCTGGGGCAAAGGGGAAGACTGACTCTCCGTAGGCAGGGAGCCAGCACCGTTTTTCCTTCTGTGTGGTTTGAGTCGGAATGGTGGCCTCCCCTCAGCCTCACCGACTGTCCCATAATGGGGTCATGATTTGGGGTCACTCCCCCCAAAACCCAGAGAATAAAAGTGACTCACCCAAGGTCACGAGGCCACCAGTGGTAGACAGGGTGGAGTTCCAGGTGTCTTGACTTCTAGCCCATCACCCGTGTCCATGGCACCCCCTCCCACCCCAGCTGTCTGGGTTATTTTGGGCTTCCTCTCGTGCCAGCTGTCTGCTGGCATCACTGCCAGGAGGCTGGGAAAGCAGTCTGGTTGAAAGTAGCCAGTGTGGTGCTCTTTACTCCTTCTGGCCCCCTTCCCTTGGCTCTATGAGGGTCTCCAGTCCCAGATAAGCTGGGGTTGGTTCATCTTGTCCTTTGCTGGGGTGGGGGGGGGGAGGAAGGAGGCTCCCTCCCGTGCACCTGGCACGACACTTTGCCCCTATGCGCACGGGGGCTGGGGGGGGGCACTTTCTAAAAGTTGATGAGGCTCACGTTCTTAATATCTCATGGGCCTCTTCCTTTCACACTGGCCTAAAATTTGAGGTTTGTTTTTAAGATTTTATTTATTCATGAGAGACAGAGAGAGAGGCAGAGACACAGGCAGAGAGAGAAGCAGGCTCCATGCAGGGAGCCCGATGTGGGACTCGACCCCGGGTCTCCAGGATCACGCCCTGGGCCGAAGGTGGCGCTAAACCGCTGAGCCACCCGGGCTGCCCCAAAATTTGAGGTTTAAATTTGGTTTTGCTATTGAGTTGATGATTCAACCCCCTTGATCCTCAGGTGACTGTCGTGTTGCCTGAGGGTGTCCTCTGACCCTTTAGATAGAGTCCTTAGGGTTCCCAAAGACGGGGGTCTTTTTGTCCCATGGGCGTCCGGTGGTTAAATAATTGATTTAAACTTCGCCTCTCCCAGCCCCAGGCTGGAGAGCCATAGCCGGCTTCGGAACTATTAGGGAGCAATTAGTGCTAAACTGTGGTCTGGGTATGATTTTGGGGAAGGAGAGGTGCCCTTAACGACCTGTAAGGGTCATACTCCCTCCTCACTTCCATTTCTTTTTTACTTCTTTCACCTTTTTTTTTTTTTTTTGTACCCCCACCCCACCCCCATCACCTGGGGCAGGGAGATGGGGCAGGGAGAGGCGGAGCAGCCTGTCTGTCCTCTGGCTGTGTAGTCCCTCCCCGCTCGGGTCGGCCCCGCCCCCTAGTCGCGGAGCGAGCTCCGGGCGGGGCGCTCCTGGCGCCAATCCGGTGGGGCCAGCCTGGAGAGGGCCACGCCAGCGGAAGGGCGGCCCAAGGCTGGGAGGTGGCTGGACCTGCCTTGCTACTGGACACCAGGGTCCCGCCTCTTCCGGCCCATCCAGCGTGAGCCCCAGCCTGGAATACGACCTTTCAGACCCTCTGGGTGGAGACTGCCTCTGCCCGGACTGTGGCAGGAGGCGCCCCGCCATCTTGGAGGCCGCCTGGGTCCAGCGAGGTCTCCAACTGGCCAGTGACCGCAGCAAGTCCCCGCCCCTCCGGAAGCTAAGGTCTCCCCATGTGAAGCAGGAGGAATGTGGACGATGACCTTTTGAGCTGTTTCTGAGTCTGGCTTTGTGAGGGGGAGCTTTCTGTGTTCCAGCACGACCTCCCCACCAGCACCGCCAGGTACTGAGCCCTGGAGAGAGTCCTTGACTCACAGTCAGCCCCTGGCCACCTCCCATCTCTGGTACCTCAAAGAATTAGCTCAATTTCTTCTGCGGCCGCTGGGTTGGAGGACCCCTCAGGAGTGAGGTGACCTCCTAGGATGTTCTCAAGTACCAGGGCAAGAGAAGCTGGAAGAATTGTCCTTAACTTCCACATCCTAACCTATGCTTGGTCAGACTTTGCCCCGACAAGACAGAAGTGGATCTGGCCCTTATTTCTCTTCTGGGCTCAGCTGGCCTTAGGGCGGGAGGCACAGGCCAAACGAGTCCACGCCACTCATGCTACTTGGCGTGCTCCCCTAGGCTTCGGTGTCCAACAGCTCTATGGCAAGAACCAATTTAAGGACTCTTGCTTGCTTTCCTAAACCTCTCCAGGAATTCCTTGTGAATAGAAAGTGAATGACTTGGGGCCTCAGAACGTCTCAGGTAAGGGAGCAGGGCTCCCAGAGCATGCGAGCTGGCCCTGCTCAGCGGGCCTGCCCTGGCCCAGCTGCCTCTGAGGAAGCTCTCAGCAGCTGGCCTGGCTCCTGGGTATTTTTAGGTACAGATCCAGCCCCTGCACCACTGGAGCGGAGTCCAACTCAAACACTCCAGGCCGGGTGGGGCTGGGGTTCTGCCAGCCTCCTGGTGATGCAGGGGTGGGTGGGTGTGCCGGGGCCAGTGTCAGCTGTTCTGCCTGCATGCAGGCAGGGCCGGGAAGCCTCATTTTTCTTCCGCCCCGAGCGCCCCCCACCCCCTAGTTTGGTGGAAGCCATGTGTTCTGTCTTAAGTTGAGATCGGAGCCCCATTTCTCAGGAGAGAAAATGGAAACTGAGATCCCAGATTTTGAGGAATGTCAGAAGGTGTGGTTAACCCCCAGGTGGCAGTTTGCTCAGAGTGGGTTGACCCTCCTAACTGAATCTCCCCCAGGTCCTCATTCTCTTGCCCTCCAGGCCCTCCCTGAGCCTCAGGGTCAGATCCAGGGCTGGCTGGAAAGGTAAGTGGTTCTCCCCTCATTCGGAGGTCTCCTTCATCCTTCATCTCCTGCTGGCCTCAGGCTGCCATTACAGACACATACCCCCAGCCCTGCCTCACCAGCTAGCCACAGCTCCTCTTAGGTCACCAGAGAGAGCCTGAGTACCTGGCTTTGGCTGGGCACTTCTTTTCAGGAGCTTTCCTCTCTTGAGCCTGGCAGAAAGGCCCTCCCTGATTGGACTCCAGTTACCTTGACAACCCTGTCTGGCCTCCCTGCTCACTCTCAGGCACCGTGGAACCTAATGGGGTTTTCCAGCCACCATGCCTTTGCCCAGGGTGCCCATCCTGCTTCCATTGGTCTTCCCTCTCAACATTGCCTATCTTAGGTTCGACCTTCCCTAAGCCCTCATCTCTAAATTGTTCACATCTCCCAGACTCCTTTAGACTGTTCCCCAAGACTTCTTGCTTTGCAGGCAGGAACATGGTTGCCTCTCAATAAATTTGTGTTGGAAAAAAAGGAATGAGTTGCTGTAAATTTGTGTGGGGGGTGCTTGACCCAGCAGGTGGCCCTCTGGCCCATGACAGCATAGGAGACTCCCTTAACCTGCAGCTGGGACTTAAACCTCCTTTTCTCCGCTCTGGGCTCTTTATTTGTGAGCTTCGACGGGCAGTCGCTGCTGCCCTCTGGTGGTCAGACCTTATCTTGCATCTGCTGAAAACCTACCCCGTGTTCATGGAATTGCCAGGTTGGCGGTTTCCTCCGTGAAGTAGTTTACCTAGTCTTTGCTGAGAACTTGAAGCTTGAAAATCTTCCCCGGGGGCCAGGAGATCGAGAATCCTTCCAACCCTGTCTGAGGAGACTGCTCCTGCCGGTAGGACCCGTCTCACTTGGCCATGCCTCAATGCCGGCTTGCTGCACCCCGACTCCGGGTGTCCCCTGCCGCTTCTAACAACTGGCCTGGCTTGCGCAAAGGACCGTTGGTTGGCCCAGAGTCGCGGGGAGGGAAGGAATGGGGGGCAGGGGCGACCTCAGCCAGCCGCCCGATAGTACCTGCACATTGTGCTCAATAAATAGCTGTTTTTGTCGGGGAAGTGGGAGGAGTGATGAGAATTCTTGAGATGAAGACACGTGGCTGCTGGCTGGCGAGCGCTTTATTACATTTCAGGGTGGGATGGGGGGTTTTCAGGGGTCCCAGTTTATCTTCACGAGATCTGCCCTGGCTTTCCCCAACCCTTCCTCGACGGTGTCTTCCTCGGTTCACGCCTCTGGCCTGTGCTAGAAAGAGGCTTCCGCCCGCGAGGTTTGGGGCCAACCCCCAGAGGGTGTTGTTCTGGAGTCGTTCACCCGCTCTCCAAGCCGCCCGCCCCAGGGCGGTTGCCGCCAGGGGGCGCCAGACGTCCACCTTGTGCTCTCGGGGAGGTGGGGGGTAGGTGAGGGGAACTGCTACTCCCCACCCCGCACCCCCACTGGCGCCCGTGGGGCTGGGCTGGGTGGGCAGACGCGCCCCCCCCTCCCCCAGCATCTTGCCTGAAACGGCCCAGAAACCGACTGCCCCAGGCCACGCAGCTGAGGCGGGGCGAACTAGGGGGCTTTTCCTAGAGCTGGAGACCGAGGGCTTCTGGAACCCTGGTGCTGGGGCCACAGTCCGCCAATCAAAGGGCCCCTGTCCGACGGGGGAGGCCGAGCCGGCCAATCAGAGGGTCTCCGCCAGGAGGCGGGGCCTGCCAATCGGGGGGCCCCGGGGGGAACGGCGGAAACGATCGAATCTGGTCGGTGGGGGGCGCGCGCCTTGACGTGCAAGGGAGAAAGCGGGAGCCGCGCTTCAGACCGAGCAGCCCCGCTTCTCAGTCGTCTCAGTTTCCCCGGGAATGAAAGGTGAACTGCGCGGGCCGGGGCCCTAACAGAAAGGGAAACTGAGGCCGGGAGGCGAGGCCGGGAGGCGGGCCCGGGCGGCTGCCTGGCGGAGGCGATGCCGGCACACATGGGCGGGGTCTCTCTGGCCCCGCCCCGGATTGCTCAGCCCCGCGGTCTGCCCCGCGCGGCTGCCAGTGCCGGCTGCTCTCGGCCATGGACGCCCCCGGGGCCCCGGGCCCGGGTCCGGGCCCGGGCAGGAAGGAGCTGAAGATCGTGATCGTGGGCGACGGCGGCTGCGGCAAGACATCACTGCTCATGGTGTACAGCCAGGGCTCCTTCCCTGAGGTGGGGCCGCCGCGGGAGTTGGTGGGGGTCGGGCTGCGGTGGGGAAACGGGCTGGGACCACCGCGGGCGCCGGACGGCCTTGACCTCCGGCTCCCCGGCGCCCTGCGCGTGGAGAGGCAGTCGCCACCCCGGGGCGCCCCTCGGGAGTTCCAGAGTCCAGCCGCGCGAGGGGAGCCGAGCTGGATCGGGTGACGGGGGGCGGTGCAGCTGGCCCCCGGGCCCCCGTGAGAACCAGCCGACCCCTTCTCCGACAGGACTACGCCCCATCGGTGTTCGAGAAATACACGGCCAGCGTGACCGTGGGCAGCAAGGAGGTGACCCTGAACCTGTACGATACCGCGGGTGAGTGCGCCTGCGCAGCGAGGGTCCCGGGTGCGCCCAGGGCTTCCCCCGCCCGGGTATCCCCCTCCGGGCATCCCCACCCGCCAGCTTCTGTGGGACTCAGACCTCCCATCACCCCTGACGGTCGCGGAGGGGCGCTGGCAGGGTGGCCTTGGAGGCTCAGAGGGCCCCACTCGCTCGTCTTTGAAAGGGAGGGCACTTGAATGAGGCGAGCTCCTCGGCCATCCTCCTAGCGCTGTGTGCTGAGAACCCACGGCTTCGTTCCCCTCCTTTGGTTCTAGAAAACCGTGGGCATCGCTTCTGCTTCCCATGGTTCCGGGATTTCGCGTGTTGCGTGCTGTGGTCTCTGAAGATTCTGTGGGTTGCAGATCTGAGTCCCCTGGTGCTAGGATTCTGTGGGCTGAATTTCTGGGTTCTCTGGTTCTAGAATCCTCTGAGCTACATATCAGAGCCCGTGACTCCAGGATTTTGTGGTTGACAGTCCTGAGGCTTCAGGGTCCTGTGGACATAAATGATGAGTTCCACACGTCTGAGATTCCATGGGCTACAGTACCTAGTTCTGCAAGTCTGTGGTCTACACTTTTGTGCCTGTGGTTCTAGGATTCTGGCTACAATTCTGTGTCTTCCTGGTTTCCTGGGGATAAACCAAGCACTGCGGAAGGAACAGAGCTCCAAGTCCAGAATAAGGTTCTCTCTGCCACCTGCAGCTCCTAAGGCATGTGGATTTATGCTAATCTCATGTCAGTTTATCAGTCCCTGCTGTGGGCTGTTGTGGGTGAAGGCAGAGTGTCCTCAAGGAGCTTCCATCCTGCCCTTAATCAATCCCCTTCTGGGTTGAACCAGCATTGGAGGACAAAGGTTAAGATCCCTAGGTGGGACCTCACCCAACCTCTGTGACTCAGTGCTTAGTGGCCTGCGTGGAAGCTCGTCATCAGGTGCCCCGTCCACTGCCAGCCAAGCATTGTATGTATGAGGAGAAGTCTCCTCTGGCCTTGGATGGAGCCCATCCCCCACCCCAAGGCTGCCAGTAGCATCTCTCATTCCACTCTGGAGAGAATCAGAACAGGGATTGTCCCATCCCAAGACCCCTCTTCTGTTCCTGATTTTGGCAGCCTTTACTGTATGGTGGGGTCCACCCTGTAGTGGCTTCTAAAGGACTCCCCCTTTGTTGGATGAGGGCCCTGCTTCCAGCCCTGTGAACTAAGAAAGCCAAAGGTTGCTGAGAAATTCCCTGGGGGTGTAACCATAAGAGCAGTAAAACTTATAGTGTGTCTGCTACACGTTTAGTTTCACATGCTTCCTGTCGGGGACCCAGGGAGGGGCAGGTCCATTAGCCCCACTTTGTGGGTGGGGTGCTGGGGAGGCAGGGAGAGTCACAGGCAGGTTTTCGTTCTCTGTCCTTCACCCTCAGGGCCTCTCCTGTCAGATCCCTGGGCTTCACTGCTCATAGAAGCCTCCCCCATCGGACCCAGCACAGGGACCACTTCTGGTCTTTGTGGCCTCACCCAGAGAAAGATGCTCAAAAGAATTTTATCAGGGAAGACTGCTGTGTGGAGGTTCTAGAAAGTTTGTTTGGTATAAGGAAGGCTTTGCTCTCACAGCTGCTGAGGGAGGGATTGGAGGGGCTCCAGGCCCAGTCATCAGAGGCACATAGCCACCACAGCGATGATGATCCTCCTGCCACATGCTTTGGAATCAGACCTGGGCTTTGATGCTCCCTGGCTCCCTGGGCTGCGTGTCATCAGGGACACCTGGGCCTCAGTTTCCTTATCTATAACGAGGGCTAAAGTAGTCTTGAGGATTAAATTAGACCCATGTGATATGTAATACAGTGGTCGGCTCTTGGGAAGGGCTAAACGTTGTCATGATTTTTAAGTCTCCCCCGCACGGCCCTCCCCACAGGACACTGGCAAGCAGCAAACAGAACTGGGGGTTGAACGACTCAGTGGAGTCCTAGGGAAGTAGATTGGCTTCATGGTCAACAGGACAGCCCAAGAAGGAATACTCAGGGAGAAAGAAACGTGGCTGCTCCTTCTGGGTGTGTCACTGTGACCCAGGAAGCCCTGTCACTAGGAACATGAAGGAGAGACTGGGTCATTCTTTCATATGCCACTGCCCAGCACAGTGCCTACAGAATTAATGCAGAAGATATTTAGATGCAGAGGCACCCTTGGAGCATAGCCTGTGTGATAAAGGCAGTGAGATCGTCTCCACCTGTGAGTGGATGGAGAACAAAAATAAGTGGCAGAAAACGAAGGCCGGCCAGGGGACCAACTACAGAAAAAGACTAAGGAGGGTGAGGGGAGTGGCTGAGCTGGAGACAACTCTAGTAAATGTTTTGTAGAAGGTTCTGGAACCTAATGAGCTAGACCTTGTGGTGGGGGTGGTACAGAGTGGTATCTTTCCAACCAACCATCCGTGACCAGAGCTCTGGTTCAGGGGTGACCCCTGGGAGGCTGAATTTCTCCATACCCAGGACCAGACCACAGAGGTCTGCATGGGAGGCCAGTCTGGCCTTGTCTCCATCCTACGGAAGCAGATACAGACTCCTTAGCGGTGAGAGGGTGGGTGGAGGGGTGATGGAGCTCTCAGTGCTGACAGGTGAAGGGGAGGCGGGCAATGTGAGCAGCTGCTCCTGCTGGGGGCCCTGACACCCTTGACAGCAGGAAGCTGTGGTTCTGTCTGGTTTCCCGAGTGGAGGGGAGGTGGGGGTAGGTGGGATGTTAAGACACCAACCAGAGATGGAGCCCTCTGGGCCTTGGGGTGAAGTCCAGGGGTTAGGGTAGCACAGGATGGAATGGGGGTTGCCAGGGAAGTGGGGAACCACAGGCCCCTTCCCAGCCTGAGATGGGAACAATAGGATGAGTGGGGTGGGGGAGGCAAAGGAGTTTTGCTGAGATGGGGAATCAGGACCAGAGGGCTGTCTAGGAGCCAGGAGCTCTGGGGGCTTGAAGAGCTGAAGCTGCAAGACACTCCGGCTTCATGGTCGGAGCTGCCAAAGCCCAGCTACTCCTGCCCCCCCCCCCCCACCAGGGAGGAAACCCAGGTGGGCGGGCCCAATAATGATAAGTGGGTTCCTCTTCTTGCAGCTTCCTCTTCTCATGTTGCCCTTGCCCCTCCCCTGACCAACGCCCTGATGGGAGCTGGGGACCAACTGCTGGGGATTTGGGGATCCCTGTAGCCCAAAGACACCCTCTCCTCAACCTAGCCCTAGGCCTTAGAGACCCCTACCCCTAGAAAGATGACTGCCACAACAGAGGTCCTTCCCACAAAGGAAATACCCTCATTCTAGGCAAGAACCTCACTTCCTCCCTGCCCCACAACCCTGCCGGTGTCAGGAAGATGGGCCACTTCAAGGGGGAGCTGTGGCCCAGAAAACCTTTCCTCACTAGAAATAAATGCATCCCTTTGCACGTAATTCCATGTGAGCTCATCTGCAGAGGCCAGAGTGGGGCCCTAGTGTGCCCCTAGACTGGTGACTTGGCCCCTTTAAGCCTTGGCATCAGTGTGGGTAAATGGGGGAGGATAATGGTATCACCTTGTGGCTGGGGGGCCCCCTAAAGCTTGTGGGTTCAAAGATCTGGGGTTAGATGCCCACCCAGGTCCCCATCCCCTGGAAGTTCCTGTTTTAATAGTAACCATAGCAGCAGTCCTTCACCTTTGTCCAGCATTGCTTAGTCTATGGTTCCTTTACTTCCAGTATCAGGGGTAGGGTTATCACCCTCTTTAAGAGATAAGGAAACTGAGGCTCAGTGAGGGAAGGCACCCAGGTCACAGAATGTGAATCTAGCCTAATTCTTCCACACTCCACATCTCCCAAGGGGACATGAGGTCAACAGCATCCAAGAATCCATCATTTGTAGACCCGGTCCCCACGTGGAGGTTCACACTGAATCTTGGGAAAAGTTGAGCCAGGCACAGTCAAGCCAGGAAGGCAACCTGGAGGAGGGAGCTAGGATCTGGGCTGGCTGCCCGTCCCCTCCCAGAGCCCTCCTCTCTTGAGATACCTGTGTTGGCAGCCTTTTTGGTCAGGCCTAGGGCTTGTAGGGTAAGGCCCTCTTCCTACCCTCTGCAGTGGACTGAGAGGCACCCCCAGTAGTCTCACCTTCAGTCATCTGTCTTTAACAGAGCTTCCATTTAGCTGTGTGACCTCAAGGTGATTCACTTCACCTCTCTGTGCCTCAGTTTCTGCATCTGTAAAATGGGGTAACAACAGCCCTACCTTGTTAGCGTTGTAGTGAGGAATGATGAGTTAGTGCAGTCAGTGGGCTTCAAGCGAAGCCATGAGGAGCATGAGCCTTCATAAGGAGGGAGCTTTGCCGGCACGGATTGTTGATATTCATTCACTCTTCCTAGTGTTATTCTCAAGGCTCACCTGCTCCTCACATACCTATTTCACAGGTGAGGAAATCATTTGTAAGAAAACAAGGTCCAGAGATTGATTGCCAGTTGGGAAGTCTGGGGAAGTCTTCCTAAGAAAGTTCTTGGCAATTTGAGAGTGGCATGGTCAGCAGCTGACCTTAAGAGCTGAGGACCCAGCTGGTGCTCCAGCTTACAGGGAACCTGTCCATGACCTTGAGAAAGGGCCCTCTGGCCACGTGGGCTCCTAGCAGGAAGAACTTCCTCCAACTAGCTTACCTCCCAGGGTGGCTGCTTAAATTAACACAGGCTTTAGAAGTGAAATGCCCTTGCCAAAATGACCATTACACCTTATTCACCCACGCACTCCTTTGTTCGTTCATTCATTCACCAGTTACTGGGATCACCTGTGTCCCAGGGGATATGGCCGAGGGTTGTACAGAGATGGCCCCTATTGGCAGGGACTTCTGTGCTCATAGCAGAGACAAAACCAAACCGAAACCCAACATCAGGGAGCGACATGTACTCAGAAGAATAATAAAAATGTGGTCAGGCGTGGGGCAGCAGTCAGGAAAGCTCTCCTGAGGGAGGTGACATTTCTGCAGAGACTTGAAGGGAAGGAGGGAGTGAGCCGTGCTACTGCCTGGGCAAGAGGGATCAATGGGCAAGGGCCGAGGCCTCTGGGGCCAGGGAGTAGAGGAGGTGGTCAGGCCCAGTCTGACTTCCTCCTTTCACCCACTGCAGCCCAACTTCTGCCCGTTTCAGCTCTGCCGAAATCCTCACAGGCCAGCGTTGCTAAACCCTGGCCCTGGTCTCTGCTGCACGTTGCAGCCCTGGTCTCTGCTGCATCTGACAGGAGCTGAACAGCTCTGGACAACCACTGGCCAGGCTTGACTGGAGGCCTGCTGGGCACCAGGGATGATTTTTTTTTTTTTTTTTTAAGGACAGACATGGTGCCTGTGCGCTTACACGTTCCCTGGGGAGACAGGCAGTAGACCAGTCGGTGTCTGAGCACAGATGGTGGATGCCCAGGACAGGGGCAGTCCTCCCCAAGGAGCCAGCTAGTCAGGATGAGGGGAGCTGTTGGAGCACGAGGAGGCCCGTTTTACAACTACTGTCCATTCCCACCATATTTCTAACAGGGAATAGACGTGTGTTGTGCCAGGATTCAGAACCTCATCCTTATACCTCAGGCTCAGAACCTGTGTTTGCACAATGCAAAGTGAAATAGAGCATTGCTGCCTATCAGCAGAAGGAACACTCAACTGGCAACCGGGGGTTGAGCCCTGGCGGGGTCTCTTCTCTGAAGCTCAGTTTCTGTGTAAATCGAAGTATTCACTTCCATCAAGTGATGGCTGTAAGGATTTCTTAACCGTTTGTGGGCAAAGTGTATAGCGTATACTTTGTATACAGTGTATAAGGCATAAAGTGTTGGTGTTGTGAAGTAGAAGACATTATTTGATATTTCAGGACATTATTTGTCCTGAAAAGGGAAATAATGTGGATGTTCAGTCTGAATGTTTTAAAATAAAATGCTAAGAAGAGAATGGGGGAAGGGAGTAGGGTAAGTGTTCCAGGTGTGGGAGGACAGCAAGTGCAAAGGCTCTGAGGCACAGGAGTTTGGTGGGTTTGAGAAACGGTGAGGGGGGTGGAGCATGGGAGAAAGGTCAGGGTCCATGGGTGCCAGGTCATGTGGCACCTGGGGAGATGTTTGGATTTTATACAAAGGGCAGTAGGGAGCTATTGAAGTTAGTTTTCACTTGAGGGTAGAGAGGCAGGATCTTATGTCTTAGATTCAGCCAGCTGCTGGGTGGAGACAGGATTGTTGAGGGGCAGCAGCCAATCATGGGAGACCAGCCACGGCTTGGACGATGATGGTGCTGTGCTGCCCAACAGAACTTTCTGCAGTGTTGGGATGCCCTGCACCCATGCTGCCCATCACGGGAGCCACTAGCCCTGTGTGGCAATTAATCACTTGATCCCTGCATGGAGCCTGCTTCTCTCTCTGCCTGTGTCTCTGCTCCTCTCTCTCTGTGTCTCTCCTGAGCAAATAAATCTTTTTTTTATAAAATTTTTATTTATTTATGATAGTCACACAGAATGAGAGAGAGAGGCAGAGACATAGGCAGAGGGAGAAGCAGGCTCCATGCACCGGGAGCCCGACGTGGGATTCGATCCTGGGTCTCCAGGATCGCACCCTGGGCCAAAGGCAGGCGCTAAACCGCTGCGCCACCCAGGGATCCCTGAACAAATAAATCTTAAAAAAAAGAAATGTAGCTAGTGCAACGGAGAACCTGAATTTTTAATGTTAATTCATTGAAATTAGCCACATGGGGCTAGCAGCTATCCTATCAGACAGCATAGGTCTAGAAAGACATGGACCAAGATCAGGAGAGGGGGTGGTTTGCAGGAGATGGGCTGGCACAGCATCCTGGGCCAGGTTTCCACCATTGCACAAGGATTTCTCCAGCCTTCTGGTGATGAGGGCAGAAGAGTCCAAGTCAACTGGGCCCTGACAGCCCCTCACCCCCTCCACAGTGTTGGGAGGACTCTGGCTAAATGGTAGCATGGAGTCCTCCTGGCCTAGCCATTGTCATAGCTGGGAGTCCCGTTCATTGCACACCGTCAGGAGTCCTGGATCAAGAGGGAGAGCCAGTGGGAAGGGAGAGTATGGCAGTGTCCTGGCAGCAGCTGGGGGTCAGGAGCAGGATGTGGCCTGTCCTTGCGTTGGCAGGGAGGGAGCAGGAGGGCAAGCTGGCACCACACAGGCACCCCCAGGCTAGGGGGAGGGGCGGGGATTCCTGGGCCTCTGTGTCTGATATAATGGAAGGAAGTCACATTTCTGTCTTTGCAGAGGTGGCTGGGGAGTTGTGAGTCCAAGGGGCTTCAGTTCTCACTGTGTGAATAATAAAATATTATTAGTGTGGTGACTACGTGCATCATCCTGGGCTGGCTTCTGGACCAGGGCAAAACTACTATTGGCCATTACCAGTGAGATCTGAACTGGGCCTGTGGGTTGGGTTCGAACACACCGCTGGTGTTGTTTGCTCCAGCTTGACATTTGTGCTACAGGCGGTGATAGAATGGGCTTGTTCTTAGAAAACCAGAGGGAAGTATCCTGGGGTGAAGCAGCAAAATGCCCGAAATCACTCTCCCCTCACTCTCGCCAGTTCAAGTGTTTACATATACGAAGGGCAAGTGACACAAAATGTAAATACTCAGGAATCCAAGGAAGGGAGTTTTTGGCATCCTTTTACAACCTTTCTGCAAGTTTGAAATCGTCATTGTAAAAAATACTTTTTAATACCAAATAATTAATAATTAAAAAATACTTTTTAATACTAAAAAGCATAAAAAAAAAAAAAAACACACCCAGCCTGGGCATCTGATTCAGTGGGTACAGGGGAGGGGCTGAGCACCCATAGCCGTGGGTCTCCCCAGGTAAGCCTGACAGCAGCTGTGCTGGTCCCCCCACCCCCACTCTCCTCCAGGGGTTTGCCAGAAGGGCAGGAGGAATGCAGCCCAAGGCCATGCACCTCTCAGCCTGGGGGTACCCTCCAAGATCCTGCTGATCAAGGGGAGCTGATTTGGCCTGAGTCTGTTATCTTCCACCTGAGGGCTGGGGCCGGGGGGCGGGGGGGGGCAGTAATTGCCATGGACATAATTGCTAGTAGTTCCTCCAGCTTCCCCTGATCACCCTGTAATCAGATCCAGTTCTGAGCACTACATGGGTTTTATCCCCTGTAATCTTGGCTACTGTGGGCTGCCACCTGTCTTAGAGATGAGCACACCGAGGCCTTAGAGACAGAGTCACCAACCCTTCACCCCTTAGAGCCTAGAGGGGGGACTTGGGTGGACAGAGGAGGTGGTGCCTCCCTTACCCATTGCCTACTTTCCCATTTCAGGGCAGGAAGATTATGACCGGCTGCGACCCCTGTCCTACCAGAACACCCACCTTGTGCTCATCTGCTATGACGTCATGAACCCTACTAGCTATGATAATGTCCTCATCAAGGTGAGGCCTGGGGCCCAGCCAGTCTGCTTCAAGGGTGGGGGCCACGGATCTGGTCTCAGCCCCCATGCATATTCTCTCCCTCCACAGTGGTTCCCTGAGGTCACACATTTCTGCCGTGGGACCCCCATGGTGCTCATTGGCTGCAAGACGGACCTGCGCAAAGATAAGGAGCAGCTGCGGAAGCTCCGGGCCGCCCAGCTGGAGCCCATCACCTACATGCAGGTCAGGGAGAGGCCCCCTCTCCGCTCCCTCCCTACCCCTCCCTACTCCCCCCCTCCTCCCCCTCCTTCCCTACTTCACTTTAATCCTTATAACCCTGAAGTGCAGACTGTTAGCATACAGGGGGCTGGTGGGCACTGAGACCCAGGGAGGTGACACAGTGGTTAAGAGTCACACAGCTAACCTGCAGCTTCGTCGGGATCCTGTCCCAGTCACTCTGGCTCCAGAGTCTGAGCCCTTAACCACCATCCTGTTCCATCAGCCACACGGGACGGGAGGGTGGGCCTGGTTCGAACACAGGATTCCCCGACCCGCGGGAGTCACAGGCAAAACCAGACCCTGCAGCTTTCTGGCTGAAGCATGGGACAATAAAAAGAACACAAAGGAAAATGAATAAGAAAGTCTAATAAAAAGGAATAAGTACTAATAAAAGTAAATTTTAGAAGGAGAGCTAGTTTTTACTGTCCTCGCCCAGCTCTGTTGCTTACATGGAGCTTGTGAGGAGGGACAAGGGAGAGGCATGCAGGAAGCCCTCCGTGTCTGGAGGCCTCTAGCTCTTCTCACAGGCCCAGCTGACATAATGGCTGGCACAGTTGGCCCAGTTCTTGAGAGCTGGGATGCGGCTCCCTCTTCCCCTGACAAGGGACAAGAGCAGGGGGCAGGGCAGAGGCCGGGATGGGCTTCCCTCAGCCGCCCTTGGCCTTCAGGCCACACCACAGGCCCTTCCCATCCATCCACACAGGCTGCCGGGGGCTGGGCCTGGGACCGGGAGGAGGGGGCTCCACACTCCAGAGAGCCCTGAAAGCCAGCTTCAAGTCCCCAGATCCGTGAGTGGGGGGGCAGGAGGTGCCCCAAGCTCCAGGCCTCATCTAACGCAGGCCCCTCCCCTACCCAGGGCCAGATCGCCTGTGAACAGATCCGAGCTGCACTCTACCTGGAATGTTCTGCCAAGTTTCGGGAGAACGTGGAGGACGTCTTCCGAGCAGCGGCCAAGGTTGCGCTCAGTGCTTTGAAGAAAGCACAGCGGCAGAAACAACACCGGTTGTGCCTGCTCCTCTGACCCCTCTGGGCAGGGCTCCCAGCCCAACGTGCAAGACTGACGGGGCCCAGGCTGCCAGGCCCAGACTATACCCTCAGAACCTGTCCTATCACCAGCTTTCCAAGGACACTTGGAGTTGGGTGTTTCCCTGTGCTTGGAGCCTGTGGCTAGACTCTTAGAACATTCTGGAGATGTCTCCTTTCTCAGCTGGGGCTCTGACCATGAAATCACCTCCGGGTTTACATTGGAGGTGGGCCGGCATGGAGGTGGGTGAGGATGCTGCACTCAGCCCCTCCAGACCCCAGATCCAGCGTTTGTCCCTAGAACTCAGGAGTACACAGCCTCCCCGCAGCCACGTGTGTCCCATCGCACACCGATAGGTCCTGCAGACCGATGCTTGAAACAAAGAACTACATCTGGTATGTGGATAAATGGATTTGTCAGCGTTCCACACAGTCCCCAAACCCACTGCTCCTGTGTTACCCGCCTCCCTGGGCTCCTGAGATAGGCAACTGCTGCATCCTCCGACTTCTGGCTGCTTTCCTCCAGGAACTTGGGGCCACAATGGGACAGGGACTTATCGGGACAACACAGGCACCAGCCCCGGACATGGGGGCTGGCCCCCGCCCCCACCCCCACCCAGGACTTCAGCTGGGCTGCCATCTTTCCAGAGCTGGAATGGCATGTACATATGCCTGAGGGGGAGAAGAAACATTCTAAAACCTCAAAAAGCACCCTGGACCACCCAGGCAACCCTGGCTCAGGGGCTTGCACCTGCAACCCGCACTGCCCCCACTGCTGGAAGCTCAAGATGAAAACTGTCATCAGTTCTGAGTGGTCGTGGGCAAGTCACTGCCCTCTCTAGACTGGTTTCCCTAACTGCAAAACGACAGCACTGACTCATTTTAGTCATCAAGCTCCCTCTGTCCCTCACAGCCTCTACTTCTGCCAAGCTGAGACTATCCTGGCCTCCTGCAAGAACACCCAACCCCCAGCTACAGAATTGCTGAACCATCTGGAAGGTCTGGGTTCAGGGCCATCCAGGAGTTTTTATTTTTATTTATTTTATTTTATTTTTTTCATCCAGGAGTTTTTAAACAAGTGCTCCAGGTGATTCTAATGCCCCAGAGATCAGAGCTGCTTGCTTCCTGAGTGAGCCACAAGTTAGCGTTAACTGAATACAGGATAATAGCTTGAGGTGGCTCCTGCCCTCCAGGGATCTCTTGCCTCAGCCCCCACTAAGCTTGAGCCTCTCTGAAGTCATCTGCTAGAGGAAGACTTACGTATGCCACCCCATCCCACCTCACCCCACCCTGCCATGCCCTGGGGAGTCAAAAGAGCACTCAATCCAAGGCCTCGTGGACAAATGATGGTATAGGGCAGAGGTTAAGCTAATCATACTCTATGGACCAAATCTGGCAGCTGTGTGTTTTTGTAAATAAAGTTTTGTTGGGACACAGCCATACCCATTTATTTATCCATTGGCTGCTTCTGCCCGACAACTGCAGACTGGGTGGTTATGACAGATCATCTGGCCCTTTGCAGAAAAAGTTGGTTGACTCCTGGTCTAGGAAAAACCCAAGTGCCTAAGAATCAGCTCAGAAGACCCACGCTGGAGTGAAACAGGACAGGTATAAAAGGGAGGGCTGGGGTCTGTGGCTCACTAGAATGCAAGCACCCTATCCTAGGCAGGCAGCTCAGCCTAGCCAAGAACTTTCCATTTTTCTAGGGAAGCAGAAATCTAGGTTTTTATGTAGACTCTTACTGGGGTGGAGGGGAAGTTTCCTATTTTAAAAATGTAACAATGAAAAAAGCTTAAACTTCCCTGAGGACCAAAGCATGACTATGGAGGCCAGTGAACTCTGGTCAGAGGGGTTTGTAGGGAGGTAGTTAAGGGTAACTGAGGCCAGTGTGGGAAGCAGTGGCAAAACACTCAACCAAACCTGCTAGCTTCTTCACGTGCCCCACAAATAGAGAATCATGCAAGGTGACCAGCAGACTTGTCCTAGCCTCCCAAGTGCCACCTCCTGGAGGGAGCCTGCTCAGACTCTCCCCACCACATTCCAGAACATGAGGGAACAGGAGGGAAATGGAGGGAGGTGGAGGGTGGGTGACCTCCGTGATGGTTTAAGTCTCAAACAGCGCTGAAGTTTGGGTCGCCCTCCCTGAGTACTCACTGCAAGAATTCCGGGAAGTGGGCTGAGGGGTGGCGGTCAGGAAGCCAAACTCTGAAGTGTCAAAAAAACAAAAAACAAAAAAAAAAGAAAAAAAAAAAAAGCCCTCACGCTACCCAAGTGATGCCAGGGCTGGGACGCCCCCTGGTGGTTGCAGCAAGCCCTCCCGCCTCCCTCCAAGCCCTCTGGAAGGGAAGCAGGGCAGCTGCTCTCCCCCGGGGTGGCAGGCAGGCTGGAGACTCAGGAATTGAAAAGAGCACTAGACAGACAGACAGACAGTGGTTCTCTGAGAACTTAAATACCCCCGGCACGGGGCAGCGGCGGCCAGGAGAGCTTACAGCAGGAGCAGTGTGCCCCGAGGAGGGAGGCTCCACAGGACACCGGGCGTTTCCTTCCACCCGCTGGGGACTCAGCAAGTGGCAGGTCGGCACCCGGGCGAGGCACAGCTAGACCCCAACTTGAGGGGCTCCCTGAGTCATTAGGGCCCCCCCGTCCCCACCCCAGGAAGACTGACCAGGAGGGCAGCGGGGGAAGACTGCGGATTAGGGAGCAGTCAGGAGGCCCCCCCCCATGTTAAATAGGTCATAAATAGGGAGGCTGGAGCAGGTGGACATAGTGCCAACAGGCTGGAGTCACATTCCTCTTGTCTGCCAGGGACCCGGGCCTCGGCTCTTCTCACAGTCATGCGCTGGCCCCTGGGCTGGCTGCTGCCAGTGACCACAGTCACTGTGGGGACAAAACCCAGCAGCCAGCAAGGGTGCCAGCTGGAACCCCCTGCAGTCTTGAACCCCGGGGGGCCGGGGGACATCCAGTTCCCTTGGCTCACGGCTTCTTCCCCTTGTTTCTGTTCTTCTGCAGCTTTGCGTGCACAACTTTGAGTGTGGTCAGGAAATTGCCAAGGAAGAGGACGAGGAATGTGAGCGCCAACACGAACACCTGGCAGGGGCAGGGCCATGCAAGGAGATGGGGGAAGGGTGGCAGGGGGAGGAGGGGAAAGGAAGAAAAGGGGGAGCCAGCTTTGATCAGCTGCTTCTGTGACCTCGAAACCCTCTTAGCACAAGCCACTGGCAAACTGCAGAGTTCCATCCATAGAAAGCAGGGCTCTGGACCAAGTGCATGAGTCCTCAGGGTCTTGCAGGGCCCCGAGGTGGGGATACCCCCCTAGCATTCAATAGGGTTCTCAGACCACTTAGGGTCTCCTGGGCCCCAGGAGCAGGGAGCTCAGGGCACAGGGCCCCATGGTGGGAAGTAAAGGGGTGGGCGAGGAAGCTGGCCCAGCCTTCCCCAGGACCCCTCCTCTGCCCCACCAACACACACACACCATACCTGCCATTCTCTGCATTCCTCGTGGCTGGAGAGCTCAAATAACGTGATGGCATTGTACAGCTGCCAGAACTAGAGAGAGGAGGCAGGCACCACTTACCCCATCGGGTTCCCCTGGAGACCCACATGGGGAAGCCCACGGGGTGGACCAGGCCCCCAGCTTCTGGTGTCCACCAGGCCAGAGCAGCCTGAAGATCTGGGGCTCAGTATACTGGTGCTATGGGCCACTGCTGGCTCCTGCCTCAGCATCCCAGAGCACAAGGCACAGACAAGGGCCATGTCTGCTCCAGGACCCTGTGGGATGCCCAGCTCAGGGACAGCTGGTGAATGAGGGAGAGGCCTGAGGACCTTTTGTTCCCAGAGGTCAGCCCAGAACAGGGGATACCCACAAACTCCAGGGGACTCACATGGCCACAGAACAGGAAAGGCAGAAGGAAGGTGAGGCCCCGCCACATCCAGGACTGGAATCCTTCTGTGGAGATGAAAGAGGAAGTAACAGGTCTGTGTGAGGGGGTTCAGTTGCCCCCACAGCCCCATCAAGCACCTACCACCAAGCCATGCCAGTCTCCGGAGATTAGCCACATGAGGCAGGGGGGAAAGGCCTCACCTGTCATCAGTGGGTGACACTCAACTATGAACACCACCCAGAGAGTGTGTAGAACACCCGTCACAGGCATGACTGCTCTCATGCCTCGAGTCACCATGAACTCCTAGGGCTTGACAACACTTAAAGAAAGCGGACATGCCAGGCACTGATTTTTAATCATGTATTTAATTTGCACAGAATTTTGCAGTTTTTTAAGGATTATTTATTCATGAGAGACAGAGAGAGAGGCAGAGACACAGGCAGAGGGAGAAGCTCCCTCTGCAGGGAGCCCGACGTGGGACTCGATCCCGGGACTCCAGGATCACGCCCTGGGCCGAAGGCAGACACTTAACCACTGAGCCACCTGGGCATCCCAGAATTTTGCATTTTATAATGGACTTTTGCATGTATCACTTCAACTGCGTCTTGACAAAGTAGGGCCTACTCTGCAGAGTAATTCAGTTGAAATGACCATCTCAAAAGATGACAGAATTTTATTAGTTTCCTCTGAAAGTTGAGACAAGAGCTCTCCAAGCTCTTTTGACTGGGGACTTGATCCATGAGTTAAAAAAAAGTTAAGCACACAGGTGCCTGGGTAGCTCAGTCAGTTAAAGCATCTGACTCTTGATTTCTTTTTTTTTTTTTTTTTTGACTCTTGATTTCAGCTCAAGTCATGACCTCAGGGTCTTGAGATCGAGCCCTGTGTGAGGCTGTGAGCTGGGCGTGCAGTCTGCTTAAGATTTTCTCTCTCCCTCTGCCCCTCCCCACTACATTCTCTCGCTCTCTCTCTCAAAAAAAAAAATATATATATATATATAATAGTCTAGTACACATTCCCGATGTATATATGTGTATGTGTCTATACATATTTATATGTAGCCATATTATTATTACTCCTCTTAAATAGGCTCAGCATAGAGCCCAACTCAAGGCTTTAACTCATGACCCTGAGATGAAGACCTGAGCTGAGATCAAGAGTCAGATGCTTAACAGACTGAGCCACCCAGGCGTCCCTATATGTAGGCATATTATACATGCACAACAACACTATGCTTATATAATTATGTATATTACAAAACACAGGCAAAAAAATAGACATTTAAAAAGAATAAGACAGGGATCCCTGGGTGGCGCAGCGGTTTGGCGCCTGCCTTTGGCCCAGGGCGCGATCCTGGAGACCCGGGATCGAATCCCACGTCGGGCTCCCGGTGCATGGAGCCTGCTTCTCCCTCTGCCTGTGTCTCTGCCTCTCTCTCTCTGTGACTATCATAAAATAAAAAAAAATAATAAAAAAAAAAGAATAAGACAGGGGATCCCTGGGTGGCTCAGTGGTTTAGCGCCTGCCTTCAGCCCAGGGTGTGATCCTGGAGACCCAGGATCAAGTCCCATGTCAGGCTCCCTGCATGGAGCCTGCTTCTCCCTCTGCCTGTGTCTCTGCCTGCCTCTCTCTCTCTCTCTCTCTCTCTCTCTCTCTCTCTGTGTGTGTGTGTGTTTCTCATGAATAAATAAATAAAATCTTTAAAAAATAAAAAGAATAAGACAGAAGCTAGCATCAAGGCCTGGCACACAGCTGGCCTCAGGCTTGTTGGCTGGAACAGAATCCATCATGAATTATGAAAAGCAACTTAAGTAGAGGCTGGCAGCCCTGGCTTTGGGGGTGGTAGGTCTTGTTACCTTCTTACTGGCTCGTGCTCCCAGTGTAGGGAGTTAGTGGTGAGGTCTGAGGGAGCAGGGAAGGACCAGCACTTGCCCCCCACCCCCCACCCCTCCCCAGGCTGGGCTACTCACCCACGGTGAGGTCCAGGTGATTCCTCTCCCCCAGGGCGCGCAGCCTGTAGAGGCAGCCCCTCTGGTAATAATATTGCAGGAACTGGACACAGCCTGCAGGGGGAGCACAGCGCCCAGCTCAGGGTCTGGAGGACTGGGTGCCACCTCCGTGCAGACTCAGGGGTCTTCCATGCCCAGAGGGTGCAACCCTCTCAGCCCAACACACACACACACTTCAGCCTGAACCTACTTTATCCCTTATCCAGAATACAATGGGAGCCGGTTATCTGAAGACCCAACTAAGCACCAATGAGGTTAGAAACTTCTAGAACAGATGCTCGCTGGAATGATGGCACCATGCTGGGAGCTGTGTGTAATGCCAAGACAGCAAGAGACATTTTCATAAAATGGGATACTTAGTAGTTACTAAAAATGAGGAGACAGAATGATGTATTGACACAAAAAAACCCATCATTATTGTTAAAAGAAAAAAACAGGTTATACGCAAAGCTATATGTACAGAGATCCCAGATTTATAAACTACAAAATGCAGTATATACGTATGTATGAATAAATGAAAAGACTTAAATCTATTAACAGTGATCACTTCTAAGGGTGAGATTATATATAATTTTCATTCTCGGCTTTGTTAGCAGAGTTTTCTTTAAAAATTAAATTGTGGGGGACACCTGGGTGGCTCAGCGGTTAAGTGTCTGCCTTCGAATCAGGGTGTGATCCCACGATCCGGGATCAAGTCCCGCATGGGGCTCCCTGCATGGAGCCTGCTTCTCCCTCTGCCTGTGTCTCTGTCTCTCTCTCTCTCTCTCTCTCCCTCTGTGTCTCTCATGAATAAATAAATAAACCTTTAAAAACAATTAAATTGTATTTTTCTATCAGTTATATGCACACAATAAAATTCAAAGGGAACAACTAGGTATTTGGTAAAAAACAAAACTCTCTTTCCCTATCTCCAACTATCCAAACTCCTCTCAGAGGGGACCCCTAAGACCAATTCATTCATATAAATCCAGAGCTGCTTTTTTTTTTTTTTTAAGATTTTACCTTTAAGCAATCTCTATACCCAATGTGGGGCTTGAACTCACACCCCCAAGATCAAGAATCACTCACCCTACTGACTGAGCCAGCCAGAAGCCAGAGCTGTTCTTAAATGAAAAAAAGAACATATACTCTATTTCCATTTTGAGGTAGTGTCCCCAACACCACTCAGTTCCCAAACATCACCATGGGTCCAGTTGTGACACAGGGAAGAAAAGGCAGTGATGGGGGCTCCTAGGGGTGAGGGTGGTCAGGCCGCCCCTCCCCCAGGAATGGGTGGTGATCTGGGGGCAGACGTCTCTTTGCTGGATTTCTGGGACCCTCCCCTGCCCAAGCTCCCTTCCATACTAGACACACCCCTTACAAGGGAGGAGGGATGACAGGGGCCTCCAAGGCAAAAGCCCCAAGAAACTGTGTTCCCTCCCCCAAACCTAGATAAGAGGCACTCACTCTGAAAAATGGAAAACGCTAAAAACTGATTACGAAACTTCTGATAAATCAGTCCGTTAGGCCTGCAAAGAAGTGGGGGAAAGCAAAGGTGAGGTATGCTGTGAAATCAGACATTCATCCCTGCCCCTCTCTATTCCAGCTAAGAGAAGTAAACCTTTTAATTAAAAAAAAAAGTATTTGGGCAGTCCAGGTGGCTCAGCGGTTTAGTGCCGCCTTCAGCCCAGGGCGTGATCCTAGAGTCCCGGGATCAAGTCCCACATCAGGCTCCCTGCATGGAGCCTGCTTCTCCCTCTGCCTGTGTCTCTGCCTCTCTCTCTCTCTCTGTGTCTCTCATGAATGAATGAATGAATGAATGAATGAATGAATGAATGAATGAATGAATAAATAAATCCTTTAAAAAATAATTAAATTTTAAAAAACGTATTTAAGTAATCTCTACACCCAACATGAGGCTTGAACTTGTGGCCCCGAGATCAAGAGTCACATGCTCCAACTGGGCCTGCCAGGCACCTCAAGAAGAAAAGCGTTTAAAATTAAATGGAAAAAATAAAAATAAAATAAAAAATAAATAAAATTAAATGGAGGTCCCTGATTTCTGCACCAGTGTCCCTGGGGCTGGGCCAGGTTACTTTTGTCATTGTTCTTTAAGCCCATTCTAGAAGCAGGGGGCCTGGATCATCATTCTGAAGCCTAAATTCTTGCTGATCCCCACTCCCTCTGTCTGTCTCCTTTGGAGCCTCATCTATGTCCTCTTTCTGTCACTGCTCCCTGCCAGCTGTGTCCCCACTAGCAGGCCAACGGAACACCCTCAGAAACCTCCCAGCTGGCCTAGGGGATCCCTGCCTCCCGGCTGTAAGCTCACACTTTCCTCCTTGGCCCAGAAGTCAGCCTAGGCCAGGAGACTCGAGGGTGTCCTCTCGTCCACTGCCAGCTCCCTATTCACGGGCCCCCATGAGACACTCACCAGGTCAGCATCACTCCAGAGAGGAATGTGGACACGTAGTGATGAGACACCCACCAGCCTTTAATTCTTGGAGAAGAAAAGGAGAGGGAGTTCAGGTGTGGAGGGAAACACAGGTGGCTCATTCCCAGTCTATGAGCCCACGCATGTGTGCATGGGCTACTCTGCAGCCATGAAATAGATCCATGCCATGATTTCAGCCTTTCCTCTGTCCCCCAGAGCTACACAATCACACACAAACCACTCGCAGATTAGCCAGGAGACCCACAGAAGCACTCGGGCCTCCAGTGGCTTCCCGTGGCCCTAAGCACGTCCCTCACCACACCCCAACTTCAAGCCCCATCTCCCTGTCCTCTCCTTGAACCTGCCAAGCCCACTGCTACCTCAGGGCCTATTATGGACTGAATTATGTGTCCCTCCACCCCCGCCCGGGTTTCTATGTTGTAGCCCTAACTCCCTTAGGGCTAGTTAGTACCTTAGAATGTAACTGTATTCAAAGACAGGAACTTTAAAGAGATAATTAAGGTTATATGACATCCTGAGGGTGTGCCCTCATCCAACAGGGGTGGGGTCCATGTAAGGGGAAGAGACACCAGGGGTGGGTATGCTCCAGAGAAGAGGCCACATGAAGACAAGGTGGGTTCTGCAAGCCAAGGAGAGGCCTCAGGAGAAACCAATGGAGCTGGCACCTTGATTTTGGACTTCTAGCCTCCAGAACTGTGAGAAAATAGAGTTCTGTTGTTTCAGCTCCCCCGGCCTGTAGTATTTTGTCACAGCAGCCCAAGCAGACCAACAGGGACTTTGTACTAGTTATTCTCTCTGCTCTGAGAACTTGGCCTGCCTGGCTCCTGGTCCAAATTCAAGTTTTGGACCAACTGTCAACTCCTCCAAAAGGCCTTCTCTGACTGCCTTATCTAAAACAGCCAAGCAGCCCCACTCTGGATCACATTACCCTGTTTTATTTTGTTTGTGGTGCTTACCACTGTCTGAAATTATTCATTTCTTCCCTTCATGTGTACTCTGAACCCTTTTCCCCCTTAAATTTAAACATCAGAAGAGCAGGGATCTTGTCTGTGTTCTTCATTGATGTATCTGTGACACCTGGCTCAGAGCAGGTGTTCGGTAAGTGCGTTGAATAAACAGCACACACGCACACACACCCGCACTCGCACAGAGCTGTAGCTACCTCTGTTATCCTGCAGACACAGAGAAAGAACACACACACTGCCCACGCAGCATCTCATCATCCCAGATGCACTTTCTCCCTGGGAGCCCATGACCCGGGCTCATCTGCTCCTCTACCTACAGCAGGCCCTGGCCCAACCCTGGCCCTTGTGTGTCCAGTGTAGAAGCTGTGGGAACCCTGTTTTCAGAACTCAGTACCCCCTTAAGGGCTCTCACTTCACAGCAGGGGAGGGAGCCTCATTGGCACCCCCTCCTCAGTGTTAAGGTTCCAGCCTAGGATGAAAGCTGGACCCTCAAACCTTTACCTCTCCTGGCCTGTCCAGCCCCTGTCTCAGAACTACGTGGCAGAGAACACAATGTGGCAGCGATCTGCTTTGCCAAATGCAGCCTGGGAGCAGCAGGACTCCTTCCTCCCAAGGACTAAGCAGTAGAAACTGGGTTCCCCAAACCCTCACTAATGCTAGATTCCAAGTTTTAAATTTTCTGCCAATCTTATTAGGTGAAAATTAGTGTGTTGTTGAGGTTTTAATTTGGATTGTCCTAATAAGCAGGTTTGAGTGGCCTTAAAACCTTCCAACCAAAATGCAGATCCCATGAGCAGAGACTGGATCTTACTCATCTCTCCTCTTTGCAGTCCCACAATAGATCTGGACATAAATCAGGGGTGCAGGCATGGCCTGCAGAGGCCTCGGGAATTATGGTTAGAAACAAGGTTTCACATGGCTCTTTATTCCCAGCATTAACAGCACCCAGCAAACAGTACGCATGCAATAAATGTTGAAATGATGTCCAGGAGGTGTGGCTGATGAAGCAGCAGCTGGTCTGATGCCACCAGCATGGAGGAACACTGTAGGACATCCACCCACTTCTTTGATCCCGGTTCCTCCCGTCCCACCATGTCTCTGGGTTGCCTGTCAATGTCTACAAGGACCCCTGGCTCTCAATCTCCGACAGAAAAAGGCAGTTAACCCCAGCCTCAGACTTTCAGCCTGAAGAGTACCCAAGAAGCCTCTCTGAAACCACTTCCCCCTAAGTTCTCGCAGAGCCACACACAAGCCCTGGAAGCTTGGCCAATCCTGTGCTCCTTTGTACTATTCCCCAAAGCCCCCCTGAAAGATGCCCCCTCCCCGTGTGGGAGCGGCCAGAGCCAGACGCAGTCTCTGTGCTGCAAGCCTGGCAGAGCAGCAGCTTTTCCTTGCACAGCCACAGCACCCTGAGCCCAGCTCTGACAGATGCCCCTGGTAAGCAGGGCTCAGCGGTACTAGGAAAGGCTAGAAATTGCTTCTTCCCCGGCACGGTGTTCGCGAGTTCCCTCATCCATCTGCACGCACCAGAGTGCTGGGCTGCTTTTGTGCACATGTGTGTTTATGCAACCGTTTTGCTATAACTTAATTCAAATATCGTACAATTCACCCATTTAAAATATACAAGTCAGTAGTAGTATATTCAGAGTTGTACAACCATGACTACATCAGTTTTAGGACATTTTTATCACCCTCAAAGAAACTTAGACCCATTAGTGGTCACTCTAATGGGTAACCAAAGAAATAGAGTTTGCAGGGGCTTATGGGCGATTTAATGAGCAGATGGTAGATGCCCAAGGAAAGCGGTACACACCAGGCACCGTGGAGGAATAGCACGGCTTAGCATCTGGGAATTGTGTCCGAGGATACCACGGCCTCCTTTCAGGACACCCTAGCCGTGTTTGCACGTGTGCACGACTTGCAGGCACCAGCAACTATTCATCCGCAGACTATTTCTGGCTTTGAGCTTCAGGTCATGTGGGTAGGTGGGGGACCGGCTTCCACACTGTGGATCCCTCCATCCTGGCCACCCCTGCACGGCTTTATCCTAGGAAAGGCCCCTATAATTGCCAGTTGGCACCAGGCACCCATGGGCGGGCTGTCCAGAAAAGCTAACACGATCCCTGATTCATTATTTATTCTGGGTGCAGAGGACATCTGCTGTTTTGCTTCTCTGTCAATCACCCCACCTCCACCCCATCCCCCACATTCTGGTATCACGCCAGGCTTTTCCTTGGGTGAACCACCTCATCCCCACACTGAGTCTGGGTGGCTGAGGGGGGAGATGACGGGGACATAGCCGGGCACGTGACTCAGAGGCAGCCAATCAGGACTCTGCATCCCTCCGGCTGCACTGATTAGCTCAGGAATGAGCCTGTGATCTCGGCAGCCGAGCCAATCAGAAATCTGCCTCAGAATGACAACTGGATCTGCGGAGGAAAGAGCCCTTTTCCTATGAGATTGTTGATCTGGTGAGATGCTGGCCTGGGATGCTGGAAGCCAGCACTTCCAAGGAACAAGACTTCAGGGAGGAGGACTGTTAACATTGCTGGAGCCCTTCTCACCTCCTTGAACCATTAATATAAGGCATACTTAAAAGGTATTGTGGGTTCACTTTCAGGGCGCTGCAATAAAGCAAGTCAAATGAACTTTTTGGTTTTCTATGACTTTCCTTTCAAAGTTATGTTTACACTATACTGTAGTCTAGTAAGTCTGCGATAGCATGTCTAGAAAAGCAATGCACATACCTTAATATAAAAATAAATATATTGCTGAAAAATGCTAACCATCATCTGAGCTTTCAGTGAACTGTAATTACTGGTCACATATCGCTAATAACCATACAATAATAACGAAAAGGTTTGAAATACTACAAGAATTACCAAAACATGAGACACAAAATGAGCAAATACTGTTAGGAAAATGGTGCTGATAGACCTCGACACAAAGTTGTCACAAACCTTCAATTTGTAAAAACACACATTATCTGCATAGTACAGTTAGACAAGGTATGCCTATATATGCCTCTCCCCCACCCCCGTCATGTGTACTCCTATCAGGTAGTTTCCCTCATTTGCAGGGTTTGCAAAGGAACTTGATTTGATTATTGTGCTGAGCTAATGAGCCACAGCTCTTGTAGTCATTCCAGAAGATAAAGCACCAAGCCTACCCTATCCATCCCAGATCCCAGATGCCACCACATCCAAATCCTTGCCCCAAGTGAGACCAGAGAGATAGGCCCACAGGAACAGTGCCATTACGACTTGAGATACTTGCTGAAGTGTTAGGCAAATGAGGCCTGGCTTTGGAACCCCACTTCTGTCCCCCAGTGTCCCCCTCCCCATTTTCCTGGTGTGCCCCACACTTGCAGGGACCTCCACTCAGGCTTGTTCCTTTCCTCCTGGTAACCACACACACCCCCTCCCACTACAGCTTGTACACTAAAGAGCTGACCAGAGTAACTCTTACTAATGTGTTAGTGACAGTTAGAGTTGTAGCATGCCTCTGAAGACTCTTAATATGAGTCCAGCAGAAGGATAAAACTTAAGACTGACAGTAAGCCCATGGGGCCAGGAAGAGAATTCATGACAAGGAGGCCTTGCCACTTGCCTTGGCCCTCTTCCCCCACTATCTACCATCCTGACTCCCCTCCGACAACACCCAAAAGCATAAAGATACTATTCACTAAAATTAAGGAAGACTATAAATGTTATTTATTTGGTAAGATGTTCTACTTCAGTGTTTCCCAAAGCATGGGGTATTATGTACCACCAAGTTTTAGATGACACTCCAACGTAACACTAGCTGATACTGAACCACATGGTGAGAGGTCATCTTTTCAGTTCTTTGTTCTCCTGATTCAGTCAAGGAGAGAATCTCTTCAATAATGCCTCTCAAGGGACACCTGGGTGGCTCAGCAGTTTGGTATCTGCCTTTGGCCCAGGGCATGATCCTGGAGTCCCAGGATCCAGTCCCACGTCAGGCTCCCTGCATGGGGCCTGCTTCTCCCTCTGCTTGTGTGTGTGTCTCTCTCTCTGTGTCTCTCATGAATAAATAAAATCTTTTTAAAAAAATGTCTCTCAAGATCCACTAATCTTCCCTTTTTACACACATGTACATGCACAGAGAGATAGCAGGCCTCAGGCTCAGAGCCTTCCGGAAGCAAGAATAATTGACTCCAATAAGTTATATGAAGAAAACAAAAGGATATTTTTACACTACTTCCTCTTTCCTGCAACTAATGCTGGTTTTCCATGTATGGTGATGAAATAAAATTTCCTTTTAAAATAAACTAGTACTTAAGTTAAAAAAAAAAGGGAGAGGTTGCTTTAAAATGTGAAAATTATCATCCAGATGGTACATGGAAAAGGTAAAAATGACAAGGATGGGTCAAGAATGCATGCTGTTTGAGAAACACTGATCTCTTCTAACAGGCTACAGGCTATATAGGGCTGTATAACTAAAAATCACTGGGCCCCTGGTCCTTACCTCTAGGCTCTACCTTCAGGCTAAGGCCCAGCAGAGCAGGGATCTGCCGTAAGAGAACACTGGGCAGAAAAGTGAAAAGGTGGCAAATTATTTAGGGGTTTGCAGATGCCCCCAGTCCTAAATGCACAGTTCATAACAATTCCTTACTAGTGTCCAGGAGGAAGGAAGCAAGAAGGGGCTGGGAGATTGTTACTTTCCATTTCAGGGAAAAACACAGAACAAGCATGGCACACACAGATGAAACAGCTACCCCAAAAGGGAATCAGACCTATGGAGAATGGGTCCTGTAGGTGCCAAGTCTAAGGTATTAACTGGGCCCCCAGACTCTCCACTCAGAGATAGGAGAGGTAGAAAGGAGAATAACAAAATAGAGAGGTTCCTTGTATTTGCAGGCCTTCAGAGGTGGGGACCCTTGGTTGTGTGATTCACTCAGCACCATGGAGACACACTTCCCCAGAGGGCTGTGAAATAGCCCAGAGAGGGGACATCAGTTGTCCAGGGCTGCAGAGCTGCTTGGGAACAGCAGTGGGATTAGAACCGAGGAAGCTTCACCCCCCAGTCTGGCCGTCTTCCTTCTCAGCACCACCTGGGTAACAGGGCAGATTTGAACCAAGCCCCTCACCACGTGTCCTCCATCCTCCCCAACTCCCTGTGGGGGACTATCCACTCTTGTCACCAGGGGCAGACGTGAGGCTCAAGCTCGAACAATCACAGCCGTGCATTCTCCAGCCACAGTGATTGGTTCAGAGACAGGCATCAGTTCTGCAAGTGCCCATGTGACCCAGGAAGACCCTTGGAAGACAGCAATGTGCCCTATTTTGCTGGGAATGCTGGAAATAAAGATGTGGGCCTGGAGCTCCAGGGTGCCTCTGCATGGAGGCTGAGAATGAAGACAGCGCAGTAGACAGCAGAGGTGAGGGGTGGAGAGAAAGTGGGTCCTGATGCCACTGTCTGAGCACCTGGACTAAGCTTGACCTGAAGTCAGTCCCAACGGACCTGTTCCTTGATATGAGAAAACAAATTTCCTGTTGTGTTAAACCCATCTGAGTTAGAGTTTTTTGTAAGCAGGAGATGGACCACAGGAGGTGACACTGCAGCAGCTGACACAGTTTTCCTCCTCCATGGCTCTGAAGTCACGGACACCTCTCCCCTCCGTGGAGGAAGGGAACACAGGCTGAGGTCGACAGCCCTCACCTGCATCCCTTCCATGACAGATCTCCCCTTGGCCCCTCTATGCCCCCCCCAAAGCCGGGCCCCCAATTACCTTGAGCCATTGCTGATGAGAATACTCTCCCGAATTGTCAGGGTACAGTAATACCACACCAGCAGAAAGTTAAAAACTTCGTCCGTCACCCTGGTGGAGAGAAACAGCCCCAGGAAGGAGAGCAGGCATGAGAATCAGGGATGGCTCTCTCACCTGCACTGCAACAGAACAGCAAACCATGATGAGGGCCGCCCACCCAGGCCACCTCTGGAAACACCCACCAATCTGGGGAAGACAGAGGAAGCTGGGCCACCACCTCGCATGCCTGTGCCCCTCCTCACCTTTCCACCAGAATCCTACTTGCCTTTAAGGCTCAAGCTGAGGTTTCATCTCCTCCCCTGAGCGCACAGCCTAGGATACCCTGTCTCCCTTCTAAATTCTTATTGTCTGATGGCAACAGGAGAACTTTAAGTAGAAAGCTTCATACTTTATTTTAAACTGTCTAAATGTAAATTCCTTCTGTCCCCTTAAAACATCTATAAACTTTCTTGCACTTACAAAAAAATTCTTATGGCCTGAATTGTCTGTAAGATGAATTAAGAACTCCCTGCCTCTTCTACGGTACCCATAGCCCAGAGCCTGGCAGAGAAGGCCCTTAGAGGCCAACAGAACAGAGTGGCTGGAACTGTTGCTGTGCCCTGATCAGAGGGAAGAACTGGCAGAAACGCGGCTTGTGACCTCGTCACAGGGCTCCCTGGCTTCAGCTTTGCTGTCTATAAAATTCGAAGGTTCGCCCCCTACCCAAATATTCCGGGGTGAAGGATCCTGGGACAGAGCCAATGACAGAAAGCCCCCCAGAAGGCTCCCCTGCCACTGGCTCTAAAGAAGGCTATATCTTCCACCCCAAATGGAAGCGCCTCTGTACCTCCTAGTGCCATACACATCCACTCAGCGTGGAAACAGAGATGACCGTATGGGGTGCTAGGTGTCTGCACAGGGGAGGGAGAACACTCCCAATCTCCTCCATTTCTACCTCTGAACTACGACAACTATGATAACCCTCGGACGGAAATGGAAGGGGGTGACTCAAATACTAAGTGCAGAAGTTGGAAGGTGTCTTTTAAGCTATGTGACCCTGTTTTGTGACCACAGATGACACACTTTCAACCCCAAGCCCTCCTGAACAGTCTTGGGAGGGTCAGGAATAGACTCTGGAAACACAGGGCCTGAGTTCAAATCCCTGGTCTGCCTCTTCCCTGCTGTGGGAGCACAGGCAAGTTGGTGATTCTCCTGTGACATCACTTCCTCTATTGAAGTGGGGAGAATGATAGCAGGTCCCGTGCAGGCTGCTTGTGAGCATCAGCTGAGTTTAATATATGAAGCATGTAGAATGGGGCCTAGCACACGGGGAGGGCTACATACATTCCCTGTTATAATTTTGGGAAGTATCACAAAGTACCCAAAGTTTGAGAAGTGAGTCCCAGACCCTTAACTCTGAGGAAGTCAAAGGCTTGACTTGTTTTTTTTGTTTTTTTTTTTGTTTTTTTTTTTTTAATTTTACTTATTTACTCGTGAGAGACACAGAGAGAGAGGCAGAGACACAGGCAGAGGGAGAAGCAGGCTCCATGCAGGGAGCCCAACGCGGGACTCGATCCCGGGTCTCCAGGATCACGCCCTGGACTGAAGGCAAGCGCCAAACTGCTGAGCCACCCGGGCTGCCCCAAAGGCTTGACTTGAATGGGGTGCTGGGGTGGGGACAGCCTCCTCAGGGCAGAGGATCACTTACACATTGACTTCTGAGCTCACTTCCAGACAGGAGGCAGGCCCAGGCTGAGTCGTGCTTACCAGCATGTTTTTCACTAGTCCTTTCCTATATCTTATCAGTGAAGAGGGGGAATAAAAATAAAGCTGTATGGCCCCAGCACTGCAGGGACATGCTTGAGCACCGGCCTCAACCTGCTTGGCCTGAGTGTCTGAGCTCCCTGTTGCTACTGTAACGAAATACCACAAATTTAGTGACTGGAAGCAACACACATTTATTCTCTTACAGCTCCGGAGGTCAGAAGTCTGAAATGGGTCAGCAGGGCTGTCTTCCTTCCAGAGACTCTAGGGAAGAATCCATTTGCTTACCTTTTCCAGCATCTAGAGGTGCCTGCATTCCTGTTTCATGGCATGGCATCACCATGACTTCCACTTCTATCATCATGTTTCCTTCTCTGACTCTGACCCTCCTACTTCCCTCTTATAAGGACCCATGTACTTCCATTGGGCCCACTGAATAATCCAGGATAATCTCTTCTCAAAACCCTTAATTTAATCTATCTGCAGAGATGTTCTGCCTTGTAAGGTAACAGGTTCTGAGGATTAGAACAAGCACATCTTTGGGGATCATGACTCAGGTGGCCACACCAGGCCAGCTCTAATTACTGGGAACTTGCAATGCGCCAGGCGTTTTACACGGACAATCTCTCTGGATCCTCAAACAACCCCACAGGACTGCTTCTTGTGGCAGATCCACTTGTCACAAGTGGATGCCCGTCTATCTAACTCCCAGCAGCTGGAATCTGGAATTCCTGGCATGTCTGGGGGCTTTCTCAGGCCCTCAGAGCTCATTCTGCTGGTGAAGAGAAGCAGATCAGGAGGGACAGGGAATCAACACCTTCTGGCAGCAGTCCTCAACTCCCCTGAACAACAGCAGCTGGAAGATAAATATTCTTGCTTAGCCGCCCCTCAAGTGGGATAACTGAGGCATGTCCCATGCCTTCCCTCAGTTCTCCAGCAGCACTGGGCTCCAGATGCCTACAGGATAGCCCCTCCTGTCTCACTCTCCATTCCCTTACCAATGTTTCCTGGGATTGCCTCTGAAATAAACCACTGGCACTCAAATGCTCACCCTGGGGGTTGCTTCTGGGGGAAACACAAACCAACACAGTACAACTTCCCATTTTACAGATGAGGATACTGAGGCTCAGAGAGAGAAAGTGAGCTGGCCAGGAGTGAAATCCAAACCCAAACCCAACTAACCTGAGCTTAATTCCAACCAGTTTTCCTGAAGCTTCAAAACCCAATCCTGATAGAGGACAGTCCTAACTAGACACAGCCTCTTGGCCTGAGGCAGAAGAAAGAAGCATCACACTCTCCAGCAGGCTGACCAAAGCCTCCCAAGGACCAGGCAACATGGGCATATGTCTTCCGGCCATAAAAAGATGAGTAGAAAGGGCTCTACTCAAGGTCACACAGTCTGGGAGAGGCAGAGCTGGACCTAGAACCCACAGTTCTGAAGGACGTTGGCCATGCCCAGCCCAGCTCCAGACCTAGAGGCACCATAGAAGGGCCTTTCGGTGGGGCACCCAGCAAGGAAGCCATCCCAAGGGGGCAAAGAAAGGAAAGAGACTCCTCTTCCTTGGATGCACTGGATATTAAGCTGCAATCTCTTCCAGCCCACCCAGCCTTAGCACAAAATGATGGCAGCAATCACAACTGCTCACACTTTGATGGCACTTATGTGCCAGGCACTAGTCTAAATACTGCAAATAGAACCTATCCAGTCCTCTCGGCCATCCTACCAGGTAGCTCCCATTACTCTCATTTCATATGGGGAGGATCCGAGGTGGGGAGAGGTTAGTTCAGTTGCCCAAGGTTAAACAGCAGGACAAACTTCCCTGAAGGCAGAACGGAGATGAGCTGTCCATCCAGCCCCCTTCCCCTGTCCTATTTTTAACCCACAGAATATACACTAGGTGTTCCCTCAAAATTCACATCCGCCCAGGCCCGCAGAATATGACCTTATCTGGAAATAGGGTCTTTGCAAATTTAATTAGTTAGGATAAGGTCATATCAGATTAGGGTGGACCCTGAGTTCAAAGACTGGTGTCCTCATAAGAAGGCCCTGAGAGAAACACAGGGACATGCAGGGAAGAAGGCTCTGTAATGAGACCGAAGTACATGAAGCTCAGACTGGAGGGAGACAGCTTTTAGCCAAGGAAGCTGGCACCGCCAGGAGCTAGAAGAGGCAAGGCGGGATCCTCCCCTAGAGCCTTCAGAGCAAGTGTGGTCCCATCAGCACCTTCATTTCAGGCTCTTAGACTCCAGAACTGTGACAGAACAGATTTCTTTTTTTTTTATTTTTTTTAAATTTTTATTTATTTATGATAGTCACAGAGAGAGAGAAAGAGAGGCAGAGACACAGGCAGAGGGAGAAGCAGGCTCCATGCACCGGGAGCCCGACGTGGGATTCGATCCCGGGTCTCCAGGATCACGCCCTGGGCCAAAGGCAGGCGCCAAACTGCTGCGCCACCCAGGGATCCCCGACAGAACAGATTTCTGTTGTTCTAAGCCATCCAGCTCTTGGTGCTGTGTTCCAACAGCCCCAGGAAATGAACACAGAAAGGGGTGGGGAGAAACTGAAATACCCAGGCCCTCACTGAACTTTAAAACTTGACAACACACCATATGTTTGTCCTTTGAGGGCCCCAGATGTCCCGGTGCAAGGGAATCTGGTTGCACATCAAGAACTTCTATCCCTTCCGGAGGGGCATGTGAGCAGACAGTACTGGTGTGTGCAGCCTCTACCCTCTGGGGAAACAGGCCAGGCCCGAGGCAGCAAGCAGGCATGGGCCCAGGACCTAAAAGGGCCTTTGTCTGGACATTCAAGTGGCCAGATCAGAAACTGGACTCCCAGCCAAGAGCCTGCCAGGAAATAACCCCCTGACACGTGAGCCAAACACCCAAGCTGTACTTGGTTGCCTCCCTTTAGAGCAGAAAACCCATGGCCAGGGGGAGAAATAAAACCCCCTGAGGCAGGGCAGCTTGTACCCACTGAACTCAGCCTCTCAGAGCAGTGTGGCCCCATTCTGCTCCCAAAGCAGTAGCCGAGCTCTCACTTGCACCACTGGTGCCAGGAGCTGGGCAGAGCTCTCCATGCGCAGCATTACCAAAGCCTGGTGTCACCCTCATTTCACAGATGGGGAGACTGAGGCTCTCAGAGGGAACCTGCTCATGGTAACCATCAGTTAGTCCCAAAGCCAGGATTCAAACCCAGACAGTCTATGATCTTTTTTTCTTCCTTCTTTCTTTCCTTTTTCTCTATCTCTTTCCCACTTTTATAATTGATACATAATTCATATACCCTACAATTCATCCTTTCAAAGTATATAATCAGGGCAGCCCAGGTGGCTCAGTGGTTTAGCGCCGCCTTCAGCCCAGAGGGTGATCCTGGAGTCCCAGGATGGAGTCCCACGTCAGGCTCCCTGCATGGAGCCTGCTTCTCTCTCTGCCTGTGTCTGTTCCTCTCTCTCTCTCTCTCTCTCAATCTCTCTCTCTATGTCTCTCATGAATAAATAAAATCTTTTTTAAAAAGTATATAATCATTACTTTTTATAGATTCAGAGCTGTACATTCATCATCTCTACCTAATTCTGGAACATTCTCCTCACTCCAACAGAAATCCCATGCCTGGGACACCTGGGTGGCTCAGTGGTTGAGTATCTGCCTTCAGCTCAAGGTGTGACTCTGGTCCAGGGATCGAGTTCTGCATTGAACTCCCTGTGAGGGGCCTGCTTCTCCCTCTGCCTGTGTCTCTGCCTCTCTCTTTGTGTCTCTCATGAATAAATCAATAAAATCATGAAAGAAAGAGAAAGAAAGAAAGAAAGAAAGAAAGAAAGAAAGAAAGAAAGAAAGAAAGAAAGAAAGAAAGAAGAGAAATCCCATGTCCATCAACAGTGCCCACTCCCACTTCCCTTCCACCCAGCTCCTGACCACTAATCTGCCTTCTATCTCTATAGATCTGCCTGTTCTGGATACTTTATATAAATGGAATCATACAATATGTGGCCTTTTGTGACTAACTTCTCTCACTGAACATAATGTTTTCAAGGTTCATCCATGTTGTGGCACGTATCAATACTTTACTCCGATTTATTACTAGAATAATATTCCATTGCATGAGTATGCCATTGGGCTCTTTCCCAAGAGTTACAAGGTCTCTCCAATAGGGCTTCAGTAGATATTTGTTAGACAGATATAGAGTGGACAGGACTGCTATTTCTCATGAGAAAAGGCTTTTCTCTACCTACAACCTACCAAACACTGCAGATACAAGAGACCCCCCCCCCATGTCTACACACACCACCACACTTCCTGTTACCTGTAGTGGAGGACAAATCGACATGCCACAGCACCCAGGAGCAGGATGATGGTCAGGTAGAGCTTGAACTTCTCATACTCATCCTTGTAAGCAAATCTGCAGTGAGCAACACCCCCAGGAAAGGTCATATAACTATTAACTATAGTTTCAGTAATATAACCATATTTCATCTTGAGGCAGAATCCTCAGCCCCATTAGATCCTCCACCTACCACCACCCACTGCCCACAAGAACCTTCTGATCCCAAAGGAAAGCTCTGGTCTTGAATTAATGGTGATGATCGATTAGAGAAAGAGGACCCATATGCAAAGCTTCCCATGTCCCTGGACTCCTGGGGTAGATCTCTGGGCCGATGATGGGGATGCTACAGCAACAAAAACACCAGAGTTCTCCTACCCCCAGAACTGACCACTTTCAGATGGACAGTACTGCCTGCTGCCCAGGAGAACTGGTGTTATAAGGAGTGGAATGGAGCAGGGCCCATTTCTCATGGGAAAGTAGCAGTTCTGTTTACCCAATGTATCAACTGCATGAAGAGAAGGAAGTAACCCTCTGAGGATGGTCTCCCCACAGAAAAGAGAGTGTCAGAAAAACTAAGAGCCAGAGCCCAACTCTTAATGTTTTCTATTTATGCAAAAATTCTAGCTTGGTTCATTTCTTCTGAGTTGAAAAAGCAAAATGCCTGGATTCCCTAAAGCCAGGTGGGAGTCTGAGATACTTACTTGGCCTGGTTGCTGAGAAGGGTCACATTCACATTGCCAAGGACCAGATTTAAGTAGAGCCTGGAAGGAAAGTACTTGTGAGTGCCGACTTGTTCCTTACCAGCCCTGGGAGTGGGCCCCAACCAAAAACATTCAAACTTAGTAAGCATGCATTAAGCACTGATGTTAGAAAATAGAGTGCTAAACTTAGCAGTAAAATTCTCACATGGAGTGAGAATGACTAGAGTATGTTACAACTGTGACACACAACAGTCATGACCAAGCCATTTCCCCCATTTTAGCTGGCCTAGGGACCATATTTCCCAGGCTCTCTTGCAGCTAATGTGAGCATGTGACTAAATTTCAACCAGTGAGGTGAACACGTGTACAATCTCTAGGTCAATTTGAAGGTTCTCTAGCACACCTGGGTGGCTCAGTGGCTCAGCAGTTAAGCATTTGCCTTCGGCTCAGGTCATGATCCCAAGGTCTTGGGAATCAAGGCCTGCATCAGGCTACCTTGCAGGGAGCCTGCTTCTCCCTGTGCCTGTGTCTCTGCCTCTCTGTGTATCTCTTATGAATAAATAAATAACATCTTTTTTTAAAAAAAGGGTTATTTTTATTTTTTTTAAAAGGGTTATTTTTAAAACTGAAGTATAACCTTCAGTATATTTATAGGTATACCTACAGTATATTTTATGCCTAGCTCCTTTCCCTCAATATTATGTTGGTGAGACTCATTCATGTTGTCTGTGTATAGTATTCCACTCAGTGGAGATACGACAACTTACTTATTCATTCTACTACTGATGAACACTTAAGATGTTTTCAGTTTTTGGCTAATAGAAATACAGCTGCTGTGAACACTTTTTTTTTTTAATCAAGATGTAATTCATATAAAATAACATCACCCATTTTTTAAAGTTTTATTTTTTTAAAGATTATTTATTTATTTATTCAGAGAGAGAGAGAGAGAGAGGCAGAGACACAGGCAGAGGGAGAAGCAGGCTCCATGCAGGAAGCCCGACGCAGGACTTGATCCCAGGTCTCCAGGACCACACCCCCAGCTGCAGGCGGCACTAAACTGCTGCGCCACCGGGCTGCCACGTGGGGCTTGAACTCATGGCCCTGAGATCAAAAGTCACATGCTCTTCTGAGTGAGCCAGCCAGGCACCCCTATGACCTCACCCTTTTCAAGTATACAACTTCATGGTTTCTAGTATATTCAAAATATTATATAACTGTCACCATTACCTAATTCTAGAATATTTTCATCATCCCAAAGAAAGCCCATACCTATCAGCAGTCACTTCCTTTCCTCCTTTCTCCCAGCACCTGGCAACCACTAATCTACTCTCCATCTATGGATTTGCCTATTCTGGACATTTCATACAAAAAAAAATTAATGCAACATGTGATGTGTCCTTTTTGTGTCTGGATTCTTTACTGTTGACATTCATATACATGTCTATTGGAGGGCAGAAGCACTCATTTCCACTGGCTATAGAGATAGGAGTGGAATTTCTAGATTATAGAATTTGTGTGTTTTTGGCTTTGCTGGGGAATGATAAACTTTTTTTTTTTTTTTTTTTTGGTAAAAAGGATCTGCTTGCCCTCCACTTCCTGAGGATGTGATGGTGTAATCCAGTTTTGGCCATGCACATGAGCACAACTCCCTGAAGAGTGGAGAGGCAGGGAGCTGGACTGGAAGGATCCTGAGTCCTCACATGACCCCATGAGCCCGTCACTCTTGGTCCTCTGACCTCTGGACTGCTGTGTGAGAAGAGAAACCGCCAGCTTGCTGGAGGCCCTGCATCATCAGGCTTTTGTTACAATAGCCTGTACTCCAATAGCACAAATAAAGTACAAATAAATGGTTATGAAATTTTGGGAGAGGAAGGGTTAATTCCACAGAGGGAGAGAGGTTTTGGAAAGGCTTCATTTAATTGACAATATTTGAATGAGACTTTGAAGGATGAGTAGAAGGTCCAGAGGAGAAAAGCAAACAGAAGAGTCTTCTTTCTAGCTCTGAGTAAATTCTAGGGGCATTTCCAGTATGGTGTAACTGGAACAGAGGTGTAAAAAGAACATCTTTCTTTTTTTGCCTAGTGATACAGTATACTTCCTGAAAAAGCAGTGCCATTTCCCTTCAGAGATCCATCATCCCCCCACCAACACCGCCCCCCCCCCCAAGTTCCTAGGGTAAGGCAGTGAGCTGCACTTAGCCCATCAAACCAGTGCATCCTCCTGATTGGGTTAAGGATGGTCACGTGACACATTGGTCACAAGCCAATGAGACTCAGTCCTGGGATTTTTTTCCCCCCAGAACTACTAAGAAACAAAGAGGCTTTCTCTACTGGAACTGGTAAGCCAGCAGAATGCAAACCCAGAGCTACTGGGGCCAGTTTGCAAAGAAAGTCTCCCTAAGAACAAAACCCACATAGTAAAGAGAGTAAAAGGAAAGCTCCCTAAGAGACAGAGCCTAACAATATTACTTGAGCAGCAAGATCCAGCCAGACCCACAGCAAAATCTGCACCTTTCTATTATTATACAAGCCAATAAATTCCCTATTTTTTTGTAAGCACTTTGAGTTGGGTTTTCTGTCACATGAAGCCAAAGATTGCCAACCAATGTAAAATGTATGGAGGACTAAGGTGACTAGAGCTGGGAAAGTGTATCTGAGCCACACTGTAAAAATGGGTCATGCTGGGGCGCCCAGGTGACTCAGTGGGTTAAGCGTCTGTCTTCAGCTCAGGTCATGTTCTCAAGGTCCTGGAATCGAGCCTCACGTCGGGCTTCCAGCACTCAGTGGGGAGCTTACTTTTCCCTCTGCCTTTCCCCTTGCTCCTGCTCTGTGTCTCTATCTCTTAAATAACTAAATAAAATCTTTTTAAAAAATTTTAGGGACCCCTAGGTGGCTCAGTGGTTGAGCATCTGCCTTAAGCTTAGGTTGTGATCCTGAGATCCTGGGATTTAGTTTTGCATCAGGCTCACTGTGGGAACCCTGCTTCTCCCTCTGCCTGTGTCTCTGCCTCTCTCTGGGTCTCTCATGGATAAATAAATAATATTTTTATGTATTTTTTTTAATTTTAAAAAGGGTCATGCAGTTTTATTCTATGGAAAATTATCACTACCCAACTCAAAGAGTTTTTCATCAAATATGGCAAAAGAAGAGAAGCCAAGAGGAATGGCTTTAAATGTCAAAGGGATAGTAAGCCTCCTGATAGGGCCTCTGGCTAGTGGTAGGCCAAACCAGGAGAAAGGGCCAGAGGTAACTGATGGGAGCACACTTAGCAGTCTGCACCAGGTTTTTTTTTTTTAATTTTTTATTTATTTATGATAGTCACACAGAGAGAGAGAGAGAGGCAGAGACACAGGCAGAGGGAGAAGCAGGCTCCATGCACCGGGAGCCCGACGTGGGATGCGATCCCGGGTCTCTAGGATCACGCCCTGGGCCAAAGGCAGGCGCCAAACCGCTGCGCCACCCAGGGATCCCTGCACCAGGTTTTAGTACAACACTGTCCGATCTTGCTTTGGAACAGGTGGCAGTGATGTCACCTGAGGGGGGAAATGGGACTTCTCCAAAGGAGGAAGACAGAAAGAACAAAAGCTCTGGAGTCAGAGTGTTTACATCCAAACATGGGCTGAGCCACCTGAGCAGAACACCCCCAATTGTCTTTGAATCTTTTAGAATTTGGATACCTGGGTCTGACTCACCAAGCTGTAGACAATTCAAAAGCCCCCAGCACAATGCTAGGCATACAACAGGCACTCAAGAAGTGTTTGTTCTCAAAGGAAAAGAGAGGGAGAGAGAGAGAGAGGGGGAGGAGAGGGAGAGAGAGAGAGAGAGAGAGAGAGAGAGAGAGAGAGAGAGAAAAGAAACAATCTTAAGTACAGAGAACAAACTGATGGTCATCAGAGGAGAGGGGCTGGGGGTGGGGGGAAACAAGTGATGGGGATGAAGGAGTGAACTCGTGCTGATGAGCATCGGCTGATGTACACCCGATACTAATACAGTACTGTCAACTATACCAGAATTTAAAATAAAAATAAAATAAACAAATGTTTGTTCTTTAGGAAAAAACATCTCTTCTCTTGACCTTGGGTGGCACCACGCATGTGGCAGGTGCTGGAAACCAGATCTTACAAAAGCCCTCCCAGGAAGGTCACTCTGAGACCCCCTCCTGTTCTGTGGAGAAACATCTGAGGAATCTGCCTTCTGTCTCCTCTTGCTTCCCTCCTTTCCCTCAACCTCAAGCCCCAGCAGGCAGCTGGGAATCACACAGACCAGTACTCTAGGCCTGGGTGTCTGCCCACTGCAGGGGTGGGATAAGTTCCCAGCTCCTACCCATTCTTCTTGGGCAGGTAGGCCTCCATGTCGAAGAAGATGTTCTGACGCTCCTTGATGTTGGCGCTCATCTGCTGAATGAGCTCTGCCTCCTCCCGACTGGCATGGTTCTTGTACCTGTTTGGTCAGATGTGTGGGCATAGGATAAGCAGGGTGTTACTCAAATTAGAGGAAGAATCCGGGGGCTCTGGGCACTGCCCTCCTGTCTTTATATCTCAATGCCTCTTGCAACCTCAATTCTCCCTCTGTACCCTGTGGGTTTGACACTGGGTCACTGCTAGCTTGTGACCTTGGAAAAGCCCTTTAACCTCTCCATCTTATTTTCCATACCCGAAAAACAGGGGTAACATCAGGCCTACTTCATGGACAGTACTCGTGTGAGGAGTAAGTGAGTACGCTAAATGTAACACATTTAGAATGACCTTCATACAAGGTATGAGGACCTCAATGGACCTCTAGAGGCAATACCTTGCTTCTTACTCTTCTAAAAGAAGAGCCTGAAGATTACTAGGAGTGCAGACAGGAAAGTGCTTTAAAACTATTAGCAGTTAACTGATCATTGTCTGGGGTTTTTTTTTGTGATATTTAACTCTCAAGACTAGAAAAACAAGACAGTGGACACCCTCTCAGTGTATTAAGTGTATCCTCATGGGTCAACCTTCTAACCCAATGGTTCTCAACTGGGGACAATTGTCAATGTCTAGGAGCATTTTGTTTGTCAAACAGGAATGGGGGATTCTATTCGCATCTAGTGGGTAGTGTCCAGAGATGCTGTCACACATCCTAGAATACATAGCATAGACCTTGCAGCAGAATTATCAACAGTGCCATGGATGAAAAATCCTAGACTGATAAAGACTATTGAGTCTTACCGTAAGTAAGGTGTGTTTTTCGGAGTGGCAATGTCATTACATGGAACCATTCACACTCTTACTCCATGACTAATGGGCCCCCATTTCCAAAATGGTCAGCCAAGGTTAGGGATATAATTAGTAACGTTTGCAAAAATTGCCCACAAGGGGAGGGAAGAATTGACCAGGAGTTAATACACTATAGTATGGAGACCCAGCTAAGTCAACTGGATAAGCCACTCAGAGCCTCAGTCTCCTTGCCTGCATCACTCTCTAGACCCCTTTACCTATGGGGGATGAGAGCTCTTTCCACACCATGAAGACATGAGGATTGGCAAGTGAACATATGACCCTGACCTCAAGAACTGAACTAAGTCATGAGCTTAAAAACTTCCCTACCCCAGGGATGCCAGACTTCCTACCGCCTACACCAGAGACCTATAATAACTTTCCTCTGGGAAACTACCTCTCCTCCTCTTTCCCACTCCATATAGTCAAGTAAGACTGTCCCATCCCCCAGGTCCATAAACTAAGCATATGACCTACTTTTGCCTAACCAGAGTCTCAGTGATTGGTTAAAATATGAGCATGTGACCAATTCCAGCAATGAGAATCACATCTAGAACTTTCACTGAAAAACAAGTGATTGTGCTGTGGTAAAAAAAAAAAACAATAACACCACCACCACCAACAAAAACAATAGGAAGTAAGGATGGGGGAGGTAAGTCTGGAAGCTATAAGTCTGGCACTGCTGATGGCCATCTCAGTGACCATAAGGGGACAGTCAGCCAATTGAGAGTGAAGCCAATCTAGAGGACGGCAGAATTTAGAGGGGGGGAAAAAACAGATTCCTAAAAACATCTTTTGACCCCTGGATCCAGTGATGTCCGAAACTACTCCTGTTTTTTTTCCATTAAAATTTCCATTCTCTGCTCAAGCCAGCTTTGAGCTGGGCAAGTCCCTTAAAACCAGAGGAGCTGCAGCCTTGCCTACCTCTGGAGCGTGTGCTTCAAGTCCTTCAGTCGCGTCTTCTGCTTGTTGATGGAGCCGCTACACAAAGTCTGGAGTGAGGTCAGCTCCTCCAGCTTCTGCCTGTAGATCCTGTGGGTTTCCTGAGAGATAGAGGCGCCCAAGTAGGGTGTAGGGGAGAATGTGAATGGGTGGTTTTTCATATTTTGCTTGTGTCATGAAATATGGCTGTGGAAGTCAGTTTGACAGCTACAATGATACAACTACCACCATCAAAGATGTAGCTTAGAAAACTGGGACTGGAACTAGGGAAGGCAGCATGGCACAGAACCTGTGTATAGAACCAATGTTTTGTTTGTTTTGTTTTGTTTTGTTTTGTTTCCTACCTAGCTTCCATCCTTCCTAATAGCAACAGCAACCAAATATGAGGTGGCCTCTGAGAGGCCAGCTCTTGTCAACCTCTTCTTGGACCAGATGGTTTGAGTAGAGCTAACAGTCTCCATGCCAGGAATGGGCATGTAATCCAGGCCTAGCCAATCAGCATCCTCCGATGCCCTAACCAGTGACTGGTTCAGAGGTAGACACGTGGCTCAAACTGGGCCAGTGAGAGTCAGCCCTGGGACTTTGGTTTAGAAGTATTGGTTTAGAAATGCCCTCCTTCTAAGTTTGCTAATCTGCTAGAAAGTACACCTGAGGCTACTGAGCAAATGAAGCCAAACAGGAAAACAAAATTGCAATGCAGGAGGAGATAGAATTCTCACAGCATCAATTCAGCCGTGAGATCTAACCTGGTCTGAATGTAATACTCTTGGTGATATGAATTAATAAACTCTTTTTAACTTAGGCTAGTTTGAGTTGGGTTTCTGATCCAGGCAATAAAGAGACTTCTTGCTAAGTCAAATAAGGACAAACATCTTCCCTCAAAGTCAGCCCTCCCTACCTCAGGCTCTGGAAATAATAATTCAGGGCCACGAAGCTTAGGGAAAGACTTCACTCCAATGCAGGGAGGATGAATACAGCAACTTCTTGATCATGTTGCCACAGCACACCTCACCCAACATTACACCATATGCTCAGTAACAACCCCTTCCCTCTAGAGTTCTGATCATCTAAGACAAACATCAACAATTTGGAGGAAACAGCATGAGGGACAGGGACCATGAAATTAAAAACCATAATCCAATGAACATAAAGTGTCTATTTTCTTGGGTGGTGGATAAATGTATTTATCAGAGGGAGGAAAAAAGGGGGATGGTCAAAGCCTAAACTCTCATGTCTGCCAGGCAGGGTCTCTAGAATATGACAGTCAAGCCAGAAAATAAAGAAATAGTGAAGGCAATGAAGTGAAGAGATAAAATTAGGAACATCAAAGAATATTGAGCAAGTCTACCCTGGCCCTGAGATGAATGGGCTTGGTCCCCCTGAATTCACACTGCATTCTCACTCTCCTTCCTGGGTCCCTGGAGAGGAAAACCATGTCTTTTCTGTAACTTTTTAGCTTTTTTTTTTTAAGATTTTATTTATTTATTCATGAGACACAGAGAAAAGCAGAGACATAGGCAGAGGGAGAAGCAGACTCCCTGCAGGTCCTTGCAAGGTCCTTGCAGGGAGCCCAATGCGGGACTTGATCCCTGGACCTGGGATCACACCCTGAGCCAAAGACACATGCTCAACCACTAAGCCACCCAGGTGTCCCACTTTTTAGCTTTAAATAATTTCAAACTTGCTAAAGAACTCCCGTATACCCGTCACCCAGATTCACTGTTGGCATTATGCCATACATATTTGCTTTATTCTGTGTGTGTGTGTGTGTTTGTGTGTTATTTTTTTAAAGATTTTATTTATTTATTCATGAGAGACACAGAGAGAGAGAGAGAGGCAGAGACACAGGCAGAGGGAGAAGCAGGCTCCATGCAGGGAGCCTGATGTGGGACTCAATCCTGGGTCTCCAGGATCACGCCCTGGGCCAAAGGCGGCACTAAACTGCTGAGCCATCTGGGCTGCCCTGTGTGTTCTTTTTCTATAACAGGCACCAGTGAACTACAGCCCATAGGCCAAATCTCCAACCACCAGATTCTGTATGGGCAGTAAGCTAGAAATGGTTTTTGCCTGGTTGAAAAAAAATCAAAAGAATATTTCATGACACGTGAAAAGCATATGAAATTGAAATTTCAGTATCCATAAATAAACTTTATTGGAGCACAGCCACACCCGTTCATTTACATATTGTCGTGGCTACTCTGGTACTACAACAGGCAGAGTGAGTAGTTGTGACACAGACCATATGGCCCACCAAAGCCTAGAATCCTTATTCCATAGCCTTTCTGCCAAAAAAAGTTTGCCCACTTCTTTCTAAACCATTTGGGAATTGGTTGTAGACAACATGCTTCTTTACTCTTAAATACTTCAGTGTGTATTTCCTAAGAACACAACATTCTCTTATATATCCATCGTCCAATGATCAAATCATCGTTTCTCTTTAGGCTCCTTTAGTCTACAACAGTTCTTCAATTCTTCTTTGTCTTTCATGACATGGATATTTTTAAAGGGTGCAGTCCAGTTGTTTTGAAGAATGTCATCCCCATCTGGGTTTGTCAGATATTTCCTCATGATTGGAGTTTGGTTATGCATTTGGATCAGAAATACCATTAAAGTGACGCTGTGTCCTCAGTGTCTCCTATCAGGAAGGACACCATGTCTGTGATTTTAACTTTGATTGCTTGCTGCCCACTGCTTTCTCCATTTACAGTGACCAGCTTCCTATCTGCAATTAACAAGTAATCTGTAAAGAGGGAGGCTGTGATTTACTCACTTTTGAATTCTTCGGCCCTCTATGTTCAACTAATCTGCTAGTATTACAGGAAACCCTCCAGAACTGGACAGGAAGGATGGGGGAAGAGAGATCCCAAGTAGACTACTCAGCTTTTGAGAAGGTGGGGCCTCTGAACCAAGAGTCCTCGGTGACACCAGCTGATGTTGAAAGATAAAGGGCCATGCTACCTCCTGGCAATCTTTGGTGCTGGATCCCACCACAGAAAAATGAGATCGAGCCCGCAACATCAGCAGCCAGATGCTCACCAGGCCCCCTTGGATTTAAATTAATATCTAACTTCTTAAGTAAAACATGAAGACAATATCCTCGTTAAAAATTAAAATGCTAAAAAAAAAAATTAAAATGCTACATGGGGATCCCTGGGTGGCTCACGGTTTAGCGCCGCCTTCAGCCCAGGGTGTGATCCTGGAGACCCAGGATCGAGTCCCACATCAGGTTCCCTGCGTGGAGCCTACTTCTCCCTCTGCCTGTGTCTCTGCCTCTCTCTCTATGTGTCTCTCATGAATAAATAAATGAAATCTTTAAAAAATAAAAATTAAAAAAATTAAAATGCTACAGCTATGGCTGGAGTCACCTATGAATATCCAGCACCCTGTCTTCTCCCCTTTCTCCAGAGGTAACTACTATTACCAGATTCTTCTGGACTTTTATCTATGTATTTTTCCAGACTGTAGTCTATTTACCTATGTATATCTATATAGACCTATTTCTACATATATGCACATAAATATATATACATGTACATAAAAAATACACACTGTTGCAAAAATGAATTGTTCCTAATACTTATTCTCCTTTATTTCCTTAAGTAACAGGACCCCACTGAGTTGTTAGCTGGGCACATAGCCACCCAGAAACAGACACTTCCTAGCCTCCCTTGCAGCTATGTGTAGTAGGAGGACTGTGAGTTAGCCAAAGGGATGCAGGTAGAAGTGGTATGTAAGTTCTGAATCGCATCTTTATAAGGAGCTGCTTTCCCTCCACTGTCCCCTTCCCTGGCTGGGATACGGCAACAAGAGGTGCAGTTACCTTAAAATCAGAGATGGAAGCCACTTGATGTCAATGGCAAATCCCAATGTCCCTTCCCCAGCCAAACCAACCTCTGATGACTTCATGTGACAGAGCTTCCCACCTGTAGTGGTTTTAAAACATGATCGCGGGATCCCTGGGTGGCGCAGCGGTTTGGCGCCTGCCTTTGGCCCAGGGCGCGATCCTGGAAACCCGGGATCGAATCCCACGTCAGGCTCCCAGTGCATGGAGCCTGCTTCTCCCTCTGCCTATGTCTCTGCCTCTCTCTCTCTCTCTGTATGACTATCATAAATAAATAATAATAAAAAAAATAAAAAAAATAAAACATGATCGCCCATCCTTTAGCATTCCTCACTTAAAAATGTGAGATATCGGGATCCCTGGGTGGCGCAGCGGTTTGGCGCCTGCCTTTGGCCCAGGGCGCGATCCTGGAGACCCGGGATCGAATCCCACGTCGGGCTTCCGGTGCATGGAGCCTGCTTCTCCCTCTGCCTGTGTCTCTGCCTCTCTCTCTCTCTCATAAATAAATAAAATAAAATAATTAAAAAAAATACAGATAGGCTTGTAGCTAGTTTAACCAATAAAATATGGCTGAAGCAACACTATAGTTTCGGAGAAAAAAAGTCACGGAAGGCCATGTGACTTCTGCCTTATTTGCTGGAACACTTGCTTTTAGAGCAAACAGTTCATCTGCCCTGAGGCCACCATGATGTATAGAAAACCTAGTCACACCTAGGCACTCTGATCAATCGTACCAAATGAGACAAACATTCTTGTCATTCCAGCGCAGACATTTAGACTAGTGGGTGAAGAAATCTCCAGATGGGAGCACCTGGTCAGTTAAGTGTCTGCCTTTGGCTCAGGTCATGATCCTAGGGTCCTGGGATCGAGCCCCATATTGGGATCCTTGCCCAGTGGGGAGCCTGCTTCTCCCCTCCCTGCTCACTAACCTCTGTCTCTGTCTCTGTCTCTCTCTCTCTCTCTGTCTCTCTCTCAAATACATAAAATCTTTTACAAAAGAGAAAAAGAAATAAACCTCCAAATGATCCCAGCCACAATCTGTAAGGTATACCCAGCCATTTATGTCTTCTCAGCTAAAGCTCTGACATCAGAACACAGTCAAGCCACTCCTATCATGCCCTGTCTAAACCCCTGACCCACAGAATCCATGAGCAAAATGTAATTACTATTTTTTAAAATGTAATTACTATTGTTTTATATAGCGACACATAACTGAACACCACTTACCCTGGACCACAGCTCTCTTTGGACTGCTATGTG